TTAATTTCTCATTCACCCGAGCACCGTTCATGACGTGTCATATATCAAGACGTTCGTCTTACTTACGAGATTAATCGTCCATAATTATTTTGGAAAATAATTTTGTGGACCCAACCGAATTTATGTCCGAAAATGTCCAATTTACTTTAAAATTTCCAACAAATTATGCTTACGAGTTGCAATTGACGTAGGTGGGGTGATGAGTTTGGGTCGGGACTTGGCGGGGGGGTTTACCGGGGGAGTTATGAGGGGTAGGAATCATCAATTTTACGAACGGAGTTCTGTAGGGGGCAGTGGATTCCGTGGCCACTGGAATAAGATCTTAGATATATGTAATAATTTGCCCTTATTGGAAGAAAAAGATAAGAAGAAGAAAAACGGAAACTGACCGGACACTGAATTTCAGGGAAAAGCAGAAGGCAGGCCTCATAAAGCCCAATCAAGCATTGCGGTAGAATTTTGCAGTACCAAACACGAATCGAACCCGCTTATCTACCAGTTGATTTGGGAACGATGGGCCGGGCCGGGTGGGATGCGGAGCCGTTAACTTTCAGATCGCAGCAACACAGAGCGTCTGCTTCGCAATGGGCGAAAAAAACGCGGCTGCCGTCCCCGGAAGAATAGTCGAACTCCTGAGAAATTCACCCAAGTGGCCGAAGATCGTCGACGAAATTGTGAGGATAGAGAAAAGGGCATTCCCTAAACACGAATCTCTGGCCCAATCTTTCGATGAAGAACTCAGGAAGAAGAATGCTGGGCTTCTATACATGGAGGCTGATAATGGAGAAGTTGCAGGATATGTCATGTTTTCTTGGCCTTCTTCCCTCTCCGCTTCCATCACCAAATTGGCAGGTTTCTCCATCCTGATTTTTCTTGCATAATTTCCACTCTCTGCTTGAGAAATTAGGGTTAATTTTTCTGCAAAAAGCATATTCCTTTTTACCTCCGTAAAATCCCAAAAACACATTCGGGCATTGGGTGTGTTTTAGGTAACTATAGTTTCTCCTTATTGCTTATTTTATGTGGATTTTACAGTTTTGGTGTTTGGCAAATTGACTTGCATTTCTTGTTTGTTTCAAGCACTTAAAAAAATCTCATATGCTTTAAGTAAGTGTTTATGATTTTTGCTGGTGCTTATTGCTGGGATTTCAATTCAAAACCAATTCGCAATGGGAGGAGTATCTCGTAGAATTATACTCCATCCGTCGGAAATGATCTTACCATTTGATTTTTTACGGTCTCGAATGTAATACTTTGACTATTAATATCTACATTTATAGATCGATATACCTTATAAAATTTTAATATTTCAAAACTACGTTTCATAAGAAAACTATTGATACTATATTTATATCAAAAACTACGTGTGTTAAGTGTTTTTTAGTATAAGTGTGTGATGTTGAATTATATCCTCAACATCCCCTCAAGTGCACTTGAGTCCTCGTGCCTCAAGTTCATTTGCTCGAATGCATCTGGGTTTTGTTTTTGAGCTCCTACGCATTAGCTTTGATATTATGTACTTCCTTCATCTACAAATTTTCTTCCCGTTGTGTGTTACGATATTTTTTAGCCTAACATTGGACTATATTTTCAACACTTTTTAAGCACCTAAATTTCCCATTATGTTTTTATATTTATACATAAGAAATGCATAAAACTATATGGAGTTTCTTTGAATAATTGCAATTCGTTCATTCCCATGGAAACAAACATCAGTGAAAGAGAAGTACAGGAGGGAAGGCATTGGAGAAGCATTGCTCAAGGAAGCCATTCACAAGTGCAGGGGGAGAAACGTGCAGCGGGTGTCGCTTCACGTTGATCCCTCAAGAACCCCGGCTGTGAAGCTGTATGAGAAACTTGGCTTCCAAGTTGATGCCCTTGTGGAGGGCTATTATTCTGTAGATAGAAGTGCCTATAGAATGTACATAGATTTTGACTAGCCAAATCATGATACAGATCAAGTATGTGTTAGATGTTTTTGTGTTGGACACAATGCCAGGCCCTAGAGCTGTATTTGTTGCCTTTGTAAGATGTTTGTATTAGACCGAGTTTGAAGTTCTTTGCCTATGAAGAACAAATTTATTTTTCCAGTATAAATCGAAAAAGTCAAAATTGACAATTAATCTAGTACGAAGGTAGTATTATTATTTTAAGATGGTATCAATCCTTGAGACCTCAAACTAGTTAATGACTTTGGATGTGAGTTTTCCATTTCTTGGTATTAATAGAAGTCAATGATAAATAATTTTCGAAATCAATAGAAAATGGTATTGGGAGAAAAATAGTTTTTGCTTCTTTTAGTGACAAACATTTTCCATTATTCTCCTAATTCATACGGAGTATAACTCAACACCATCACACTATCCTTTTTTATTAACTCAGCAGCGCCTTAGTTTTTCTCTTCACCTTTAAATTTATCCCCTTAGGGGTGTGTGGATCACGCTCATCCATTCCATCCTTTGTTTCTTTCTTTTATATTCATGTTTAACATTTATTTATATTAAAATTACTTAAAATACAAACATTAAATAAATTTTCATTAAAAATAGAATTAAAATTACAATGAAAAAATATGATAAAAAATAGGCGGATACAAAATATTCTGGGTTATTTTTAAAACAAAAAAAAATTAGAGTAAGAATAACATAAAAACTAAACTTAAATAATAAAGATGTTGGAAAGTTGAGATAACACAGATTTATTTGAGAGTCGTAAAATCACTTTCAGATTGATTACTTGGGCGTTCACTCTAAAATAAATCGGATAAAACTCAAAATTAATTGATCAAGAACAAGTATAGATTGTGATGTATTTTTGAATTTATTGGATTATCGACCAAGCCTTGCGAGATACTTATAGAAGCAGAAATGGTGAAGAGATGCGATCGCATCTCTCTTCTGAACTTCGCGTCTAATCGCGCGAAAATTAGAATAAGCATTCTTTCAAATTTTCTTCATACCCAATTCCGAAAAATAAAAATTGAAGGGAAAAAATTTCAAGGACATCAGTCAGGGGCTGCCGCCCCTTGGACCTTGCTCTTGGGGGCGCTGCCTCCGAGCTCTATTTAAAACGAGACTTTTATCATAACAAACTCAATGAAGCGTGCACTCCGCACCACCAAATTTTTTTATGATCATTAATTCATTGTGACAATATTGATCAAATAGTAATTCCAATTGCATTAAAATATATAACAAAACAGAAAACTTCTGAGTAAAAAAGAAAGAAGAAAAAATGAAAATAATCGACAAAGTAGGAGAAAAACATACAGTAGTAAGAAGAAGAGAAGCATAGGAAAAAAAGAGAAAGAAAAAGAAGATGAAAATTGTCGTGATGGAATGATGGCCATCACAATCACGAGAAAGGGAGCGGTGTTATGGACTAATGTGGTGGCCAACTCAGCCATCACGGCCCATCACACCCCCCACGCCACAGAACCTAAAATCTACTCCCTTCATTTTTAAATTGTTTTCTTTCTTTTTTAAACGTTATAAACTAATACTTCATCCAAAAATAAAGTACTTTTTGTTTCAATTTATAATGTTTGACCAACTCTATTTTTTCAATTCAATTTATTTGATTCTAAGCATAAAATTTTAAAATAAAATTTATATATTTAAAAATTAGATTAAAAGTTATACTCGTACAAAACTAGAGATGAAATGACTATTTTATTTTATCAAGTGACTAATAAAAATATGAAAACAAAGTAAATAAAATTTGACCATGTGAATAGTAATTGGGAAGATAATTTTAGGACAGAGAGAGTACTCTGTATGTAATTTTTATTTTTTTTACTCTCTTCGTCTTAAGATGTTTTATATTATACGCAAAACAAAAAAAAATTAAATTTTTTATTTCATTTTATTTAAAGATTAGTATAGAAGTTAAAAATAAAACTTACAATATGTATTTAAAAATTAGGTAAGAAATTTTACAAAACAAAAGGTGACACAAGTATTTTATTTTATCAAATAATCAATCAAAACCCACAAATAAATAAATTTTTTTGTGACTTTTGAATTGTAAAAAAATGTAATTCTTTTTTAGGCGGAGTGAGTAATTCTACTCCAACTTTCAGTTATATTGATTAAAAAATAATTTTAATTAAACATCGTAAATCAGCAGATTTATGTGTTAAGAAAAATGTCTCTCTCCTAATCAAATTATAATACTCCATCCGTCCCAATTTAAATCGCCTGTTTTGATTTTCGGGCATATTTAAAAAAAATAAAAAATAGAGTTGATTTTTTGAAATTGACATTACTTTTTAGGATGGTGATGATGAATGAAAAGATTATGTAAAGAAGAGTGACTTATTTTAGGGGTAGTTTAAGTATTTTATTTTTAAAAATTTACGAAAACTACTAACAGGCAACTTATTCTGGGACGGAGAAAAAAGACAAACTGGCACTTTTAAATGGGACAAAGAGAGTATTTTTTAGCTCCTTTTGGCCCATATTTTTCTTTCCAATTTGACTTTTATAGTCAATATTTTCAAATTTTGATCATATATTACGAGAAAAGACATTGAGTTGTGTTATAAATTAATATCTATAGATTGAATATGAAAAGTAACTTTGAAATTTCTTGTTTTTATTTTTTATAATCATATATAAATAGAAATGCTAACGACTAAAATATCACAAAGTACCTAAAAAATTGTAAAAAAATAAAATAAGAAGAGATGTGGGAGGTAAGAATTATTTTTTACTCGTAACACTTTTCAAATTTTCATACGTTACATTTTTTTCTTCAAATGGAGCCAAAATGAATTCAATTTCCATGCGTTACATTTTGAACTTTTTCCGGATAAAACGGACTTGGCGAGGGAACAGCCTGGAAGAGCCAAGACCAAAAACGAAATAGAAGAAGAGGAAGCCAGGAGGAGGTTTGCATGAAACAGTTTGAAAGAGATGGAGAAGAGATGGCCGCCATTAATGGAGGCACGACAAGATTTGGTGAACGCTGTCAGTCACGGCGGACTCGCAGTCTCAGCCGTTACCCCTAAAACCTGCAAGAAATTCCGTGCCCAGGTTCACGACATTCTCCATCACTCCCATCGCTCCTTTCACGTTCCATTTCGATTCCACCTCTATATAATCGATTAGAGTCTCTAGTTTTCCCATTCTCCGATTCCCCCCAAATTACAATTGTCTGAACAGAAATGGATTTGGAAACAGCTCGGATCTGCACTCAGGAGCTTCTGAAGAAGTTGAACTTTCTTCTAGGGCTAATCGGGCTCATCATCCTTGGATATGCTTTCTGGAAGTACAGAACCTTCATGGACAACGGCTCAGTGAGCCCAGATGTTCACCCTAGCCTCTGGTAAATTTCAATTTTCTTTGTACATCCTGATTTTATTACTTTCTAATGTCCATTTTTAGCTAAAAATTGAAGTAATTTCCCCATTTTAGGGTTAAAAAAAAGATCTTCCTCACATTTATAGATCAACTTTGTTCAAGTGATTAAGTGGGAAATGATGAAATCTTTTTTTCTTACTGGCACATTCGCAAAAGGTACCCAATTTTTATGCTAGTTTTGTATGCCAGGTTCCTCTACACTTCTGCAGGCATTGCAGTTGCTTTGTTCTGCTTGGCCTACTTGGGGCATGCAGGTGCAGAGACTGCAAATACAAACTGTTTGAGCTTTGTATCCTCTATATATTTAGCTTTTCTGTCTTTTCTAAACTGCTTCTTGCATTTTATGTTTGCCCTTTGATGTATTTCTCGCATCACATTCATTAACCGCCTCATTTCTGTGCAACTTCAGTGCATGTTTTGAGCAGAACTCGTGACTGCAAGTTGCATTTCGGGTATGCGAGGAAAACATATTGTGTCTTTTTTCTTCTTTTTTTTCTTCTACATATCGCGGTAAATCATTGAATGAAGCCACTTATTGTCACAAGAAAGTGTTGAAGCAAGTGTTGATTAGTGTAATAATTAAACCTCTTTTTGGAAAACAGCTCTCACACTCCTTTAAACCGGGTTTTTAGAATTTGTTACCCGTTTTTATTTTTAGAAAGTAAATATCTGTAACCTCACCTCTTAATTAATAATGAGTATTGTTAACTAGACGTTGATTAGTTATACATAGATTCTGTATCTAATGGTTTTTCTTATGTTGCATGATCTAGAGCCACTGATAGTGGATCAAGTACATATATGTTCTGTAGATCTTTTTTATATTCCTTAATTAGTAAAGTATATGGTTGTGCTATCTATTCTTTTCCTTTTGGAGCTTCCTCTTGAGACATATACACTCTTACACCCTGATTGGAAAGAGGTTTTCAACTCTATTCTGCACTCTACATATTAAATATCACATCGATGGATAGCTTAACAAGTTTCTTGGCTACCAAAATCTGTCTCATTTGACTTAATCAGGGCTTTCCTGAGGACCCAACCGGGGCCATTGATGAGATCAGTGATTTTATTGCAAATAACGATGGACTTTACCAATTGGCTGTCCTGTTAGTAATAGTTATCCAGGTACCTATTCACTATTCTTTCTTTCGTTCAAAGCTTTCGCCACACACACACAATCAATATTTTTACTGTGATAAAAGAAGTTATCTCGTTGTGGAAACAAAAGAAGTAATCCCGTTGCGAATTCATTAATTGAAACCGGATTTTTGCAATGTGTGGCAATTCCTTTTCAGTACTAGTTTTGTTGGAAACAATCTTTTATTATAACTGGAAAATTACTCAAAACCAATTACAATAAACTCTCATATGTTTCTCATATCATAACCCAAGCTTGGTTAAGATATATATAGAGCTAATTAAACCTATAACCCATTATTCTATTCCTACTAGGACTAGAACACCTCGGGTAATCCTAATCCTACTCGATAATTAGTTAACAAGTTTTACATGCTTACCAAGAAATAAGATTTCATGAATTACTACTTACCAGTGGCTTCCTGCAATTTTGTTATATCCCCACATATGCAGTCAGAGTGTGCAGCTATGGCACTGATACTCAAAACCATTGTTGAGCGCAACGAGAATAACGATAGTGATCCAATTCCAATGGGTGCCTTACACTTTCAACCTTATTATCGTCTTCCGTTTCGTTGATAGCACAGTTTCGATCTGTGGATATACAACAAGGTAAATTTTGTTAGCAAGGAAATTGTTGGTGCATTACTTTTACTGTGGTTTTACATAATGTGTTACCACCTTTTGCAGGGGAATGAAGTGAAGAGCAGGTTCGGTGTCTCTGGCGCATTGCTAAGTATAGAATGTACCCAGATGAATAATGTGTGTATTGTATTATTTGCATATTCTGTTCTTTATGGTGTAAGACTGTTATGTTTCCTGGGAATTAATTGTGACCATTTTTAGTCCTTTGGTTTTTGATATATATATATATCTTATAACTTAAGATTCAAGCTAAATTTTATGCCAGAGGAATCAAATTCCGGGCTTCTTTTCTGCTTGTTCACTTAATTTTCAGATACCACTACAAGTAACTTTTGTTCAATTATTTAAAACCCATGCCATGGTAGAATATCATGTAGAGTAGTTCGTAAATTGTAATCTTATGTAAGTAAACCATGTTTTTATATAATTACGATTTGTTCTAATAATACACGTCGCGAAAAGGCTTTTACCATGTAAGTATTGTACTCCCTCCGTCCCATTTTAAATTGCCTGTTTGTCTTTTTTCTCCGTCCCAAAATAAGTTGCCTGTTAGTTGTTTTCGTAAACTAAAAATAAAATATCTAAACTACCCTTAAAATAAGTCACACTTCTTCACCTTATCTTCTCCTTCATCATCACTTCTCCTAAAAAGTAATTTCAATTTCAAAAAATCAACTCTATTTTTTATTTTTCTTAAATATGTCCAAAAGTCAAAACAGGCGATTTAAATTGGGACGGAGGGAGTACCAACTAAACAACTAAACAAAAGTTGGAAATTCAAGTAATTGTACAAAAAATATATTGTACCAACTGAACAAAAGTCATCGAGCTAATTTGTTGTCAATCTTCGACTGTTACATACCATATTTCTCATAACCTACAAGTTAATGCAAACATTATTAAATTTTACCATTTTAAATATTTTTGAACACCGCCCCCCTCTGCGGGAACGGGAAAGGCAGGGCTCCCTCCTCGTTTTTCCTGTTGGCAACGGTCTAGTTTTTTTGTAAATTAGCTCTTAGGGCTAAAAAAAGTTCAAAAATATTTAAAATTTACACTATTTAAACACAACACTCAATTCCTTTTTTCACACACTTCCCATCCATTTTTTTTTGGATTTTTTTGGATTATACTAGTGTTGGAGTGGTGATTATAAATGATGTGGTTCCTCCTAGGGTTAGGGTAACGCCCTCCGCCGGGGTTGAAATTTGGGAAATGATGAGTTTCATATTACTGTTTGTCATTACTTCTTTTTGTAAAGGGTCCCACGGATGACGCCAATTTGATGGTGTAAAACCAACGTGAGTTTTAAGTAACTAAAAGCAAGGGTTGTAGGTGGGAACACCTGTAATTCAGTTTGTTATTTATAATATGGGAACCGATTAAAACTTACAAGCTGTGTGGATTATTTATTGCTTGCCTTCTTTGTGAGGCTTTCACTCCTATTTATAATAATAGAAAATACATTGTTTATGACAACTGTTCATGTCAAGGCATCCTCCCGGCCAGTCTTCAAGCCAGGCAGTCTTCAAACCTTCTACGGATCAAGTCACGAGCTTGCCGGTCCGACCCCCCCGAGGGACGGTGAGGCCAAGTTTGGTCAGACTTTGGTACCTCCCGGGCACCTGCGAACCTGCCGGGCGGTACTAGTGGGTTATACCCATCACAGGGAGTATTATGTTATCCATAAAAGTGAAAATGGACGTGGCGAGCTTGCGAGTCAGATCAATGGAAGAAAAAAACAGTAATCAGAACAGTGGCGGCAAATTATACTGTACAGCCGGTTGTACCATATTTCCGGTACAACCGGCAATTACATCAAAGGAAGGAACAAAGGGGAGACCGGCAATCGGTCTAAGGAGATACGGAAGCGGGAGACGGGGAGCATGGCATCTGGTGATTGAAGAGGAAGAAGAAGAGGCTATGATGGCAGGTGAAGGTGGCAGCAACTGCAACTCTTATGAGATGATGCAAAGATAGATGAACAGTATCGGATGTTCTCTGCTATGCGAGGCTATGCGATGAATATGATGAGTACAGAAAGTTGGATTGGAGTAATTAGATTATTTAGACTATTAGATTATATTTTGTACTTTATTTGGGAATGAGCACCACGTTATTTGGGAATGAACATTACTTTAGTTTAGAATTAATATTACAGTATATTATTTGTAAACTAATATTATAATTATATAAAATTGGTATGTGAAAATGAGTACTACGTTATTTCAAAATAAATATTACATTATTTTAGAACGAGTGCTATATGTTTTCAAATTGATGCTTATGCTTATAAGAGAATAAAAACTACTTTTATTCCGAATGAGTATTAGTGGCCGTTTATTGCATGAGCAAGACAAATGTTGAAAGGGACGGAGAACAGATGTCGACCATTTATGGAACAATGGTTAAAGTTCTCAGGCACGGCGGGCTCTCAGTCTCATCCGTTACGCTTAAATCATGCCAGAAATTTCGATTTCTATCTCAAATTCACGAGAACCCCACTCTCTCAGTGTTCCTTTCTCGTTTCCGCATTCTCCGGTTCGCCCAAATTACATCTGTTTGAACAAAAATGGCGTCGGAAATTGCTCGGATCTGCATTCAGCAGCTTCTGAAGGCGGTGAACTCCCTGATAGGGTTAACCGGGCTCCTCGTTGTCGCGTACGCCCACTGGAAGTACAGCGCCTCTCTGGAGAGCATTGGTAGCCGAGATGAAAACCTTAACCTCTGGTAAATTTTCTCTTCCAGAACAGAGATTTTCAATGTGTTATTTCCGGTGTTGGGTTTTTGGGGTTAAAATTAGGGTTTGTTTTTCCAGGTTTCTCTACGCTTCTCTATGTGTTGCCATAGCTTTGTGTTTAGTGGCCTGCATAGGTCATGCTGGTGCAGAGACTGCAAATGCATGTTGTTTGAACTGTGTATCCTCTGTGTTAGCTATGAACACTTTCGAATTGCTTCCAATTCTTCCTGCATTCTGTGTGTGTGTGTGTGCTGTATATGGTACTAATCTTTGTTTTTACAATGTTGACAAGTGAAACAAAACTCAACCTTTTTTTCACTTGTCATATAAAGTAATGCAAAAATAAGAACATAGGTAGAAAAGTGTGGATCATGTCAAGTGGCATTCTTTGAAAACAATATCTCTGGTTTTTTGAAGATTAAAACTGGTTGGTGACAGAGATAGATCAATGTTCTTTTTTTTTCTCTTGAACCATTAATAGAGGATGAGAGGGTCTCTGGTCTTTTTGCTGTATTCCTTGGGACTCATTTATTAAACTCCTCATTTTTGCAAGATGCAACTTCAGTGCATGTTTTGAGTAGAATATATGACTGCAAGTTGCATCTTGGGCATCTGAAAAGCTATGTTCTAGTAAATAATTGAATGAAGCCACTTATAGAAGAAAAAAATTAATACGAAGTTAAAAAATGGAAGTTTATATTGACACTTCAACATAAGTAATGGTACTCTAAATTTGCCATTGAAAAACATATCCCTCACCACTTTTGCTAACTTATTATTCTAATTTGGTGTGTCATTATCAATGTTGCAGTTATTTCTTGAGGAAGCAAATTGCTCCTACATTCCCTTTGATTAACTATTACTCGTACTATTCGATATTCTTAGATCACTTGAATATAGATTCTGCATATAATGGCTTGTTTATGTTGCACAATCTATAGCACTGATAGTGGTTAGAGTACCTATATGTTCTGTATTTTTTTATTGCAAAATTTCGCTATGGTCAGCTTATTTTCCTTAATAGGCATAGTATTTGGTTTTGATGTTTCTCCTTCTTCTGGTGGAAGTTCACATCGGAACGTTTGTATTCTTAAACAATGACTGGAAAGAGGTATTCAACTCTATTCAGCATGCTACATTTTAATAAACAGCACATCAATAGATGACTTAAACAAGTTTCTTGGCTGCTGTTTTCTGGTTGATCTGACTATATCAGTGCATTCCTGAGGACCCAACTGGTGCGATTGACGAGATTAGCGATTTTATTGCAAGTAATAATGGACTTTGCCAATGGGCTGGCCTGTTACTAATGATCATCCAAGTAACTACTGCTTTTCTGTCTTTGATTTGAAACACACACCCTCTATCAGTTGTGCACACATCCATGTCTTAGCTTCTGCCAATTTGTGTTGATTGATTTTATAACTTTGTCCTGTCTTGTGTAACTAAAGTTGATCTCTCTTCATAAGACCTGACTTGATTATATTCAAATCCATTTGTCCTAATCCCGGGTAGGGGTAAGGTCTATGTACACACACCCTCCTCACAGAAAGTAGAGATTGTGGACAATACTGCCTTCATAAATTAAGAATGAAACTGGCAATAAAGGCATCCCATTGAGATTGAGGCTATAGAAACCGACTTCTTCCCATATCTGGCAATTTATTCTCTACTAGTTTTACACGCCACCAAGAAATACGGTCTCACAAAATGAAATGTTTTCTACGCGTGCAGTCATTGTGTGCTACTCTTGCACTGCTTCTCCATGCCATCGTTGAGCCAATGAGCAATGGTGTGTATGATCCAATCTCTGGGAGAGCCCCACTTTTGCCAACTTATGTTCGTCTCCCATTCCATTGATAGTGCGATTTACCGCAAGGTATTTGGTCAGAATAAATTCATTAGTTCAATTCAGTCGCTTAGTATCGTTCACCGGTGCACATTTGAGGCTTCATGTGTGCTAATATTCACCTGTTTTTTTTTATGATGATAAGGAACTGCAGAGGCATGCAATAAGGACGTTTGGTGTCTCTGGCTTCTTATGATGTGTTTTTGTATATTTTAGTTCTAATGGTGTAATATGTGTGTATTTTTTTCATTATTTGTGTTTAATTTATTTAACCCCTTTTTGTGTGCCTTTATTGTGGTGTAAGACTGTTTTTCCTCCTACTAATGAATTGTGGAATTCCAGACTTCAAATCGTGACCATTTCATTGTATCCAGAGAACTCAATTACTATACATTGTTGGTATATGTCTCTTGATCTTCAATATGTGAATGGATTCATGAATATCACAAAGAGTGATTTTCATGCAATATCAGTGTATCTCGTTGGAATCGTTAAACCCCATTTGGGATGACTTATGAAAGAGTTGAATAGGTTTCTGTCAAATTTCGTGCCAAAAAGAAAGGTTAATTGTACATACACCTCCTATGGGTTATATAAATACATTTAACCTTAAGAAAAATTGAGTTTTGTTGTTGAAGTGATGCAGAAGAGAAAAAAAATTGTGATCCACTTAAAGTTTTCTTAAAAAAAAAAAAGAAGACTTTTTTGGGACTTCCCCAAAAGAAAAGAAAGGGTCTTTTTTGAAATGGAGGGTGTAATATTTGATTGGATAAAAGAGAAAGATTGAATTATATATTCTTTTTTTCCAAAATGAATTACACTCTTTGATCAACGTATAAAATCTTATAATTTTAAATTCATTTTATTTACACATTGAAATAGAACAAAAATTATTGAGATATTGTAATTGTAATCGTGTAATTCATTTGGAGATCAAAAAGAATTTTATTTTGATACAACAAGGGAGAAATAAGATAATATTGATAGGAGAGAGGGTAAATGTGTTAATTATACAAATTATAAGGGTGTGTGTGCAATAAATTTAACCCTAAAACGAACCTGAAATTTCAACAAAAATAAAACGGAGATAGGTGGGACAAAATTCCATAGAGGTCCTTGTACTATTTAAATATTTGAATTAGTCTCTCTACCTAAAATTGAATCAATTTAGTCCCTAAAGTATTTACTTTTGTTTAATCAGGTCCTTCTCTTCATTTGACTTTTAAATATTGTCTCAAATGTTTAGCGATGACGTCAAATTTTACTCTAGATGACATGAAAATATTGTTTAACATATTAAATCATTCATTTATTCTAATTTTAGTCATTATATAATAAATTATTTTATCTCTAGTTTTTTTCATTATAGAAATAAAAAATAAAAAATTGCATCTTTTTTATTTAATTTTTTTTAAATAAGTAAGAATTAACATGCATATACAACCGTTTCGAGTATCATTGAAAATTTGGGATAATACATAAGAGACAAGTGAAGACAAGGACTTACTCAAACCAGGGTGAATTCTCCCTTAGGGGCTGTTTGTTTCAGCCTCTTAATGGTTCAGATGTCTGAATGGTTCAACACTTAATGGTTCAGACTGTTTGTTTCAGCCTCTTAATGGTTCAGATGTCTGAATGGTTCAAACATTTGCCTCTGAATGGTTAAGTATTATACAGAGTCTGAATGGTTAAGACCTCTTATCTGAATTGATCATACATTTGCCTCTGAATAGTTAAGCAATATACTACTCTTAATGGTTTAAACCTCTTACTAGTTCAGCACTTAATGGTTCAGACCTCTTACTGGTTCAGTACTTACCTATTCAGAAGTTACCAAACGGCCCCTTAATCTTGATTCTTGAATAGTGAGCTTCATATTATTCAAGTCAGTGAAAAAGTTCGATGTGATTATTAAATTAATAACGAAAATAAGTAAATAATTGTAAATCAAATACTCTTAAAAAATATGAAAAGTCTAGAATAACATAAAAATTTCAAAGTAAATCTAGAAAAGTTAAATGACTTCAATTTCTCAAGAAAAGAAAAAGGAGACTACTAATCTAAACACTCAATTAGAGATTGTTCTCTTAATTTTTTTTCTTATTATTCATTATTTATTTTTATTAGAATGAGATCATATCAAAAATAACTTTGGATATAACTACATTCAAATCAAATTAGCTTAGAACATATCCTAATAAGATCATAATTAATCAGATCAAGTGAAGGGAACAAACCTTTAATCTAGAGCTAATTCTCTCTAATTAAAAGATTGTTGATGTATAAATCAAGTATTCTCTTTTTTTCTGAAAATATTCTTCATTTATTATTCATACAGTTAAATTTTATTTATTTTATTTACTTATTTTTACCATTTACTTTATAATACAAATTACAGTATAATACTCCATGGGTTGCAAAAAAACATCGCTATTTACCATTTAAATAAAATATTTTTATTATTTCTTGTTTTGTAAAGTTTTCACGCACTTTTAAATATTTAAGTTTTATTTTTAATTGTAAATAAAATTTTAATTAATTTCCCGTAATATGAAACTCCATTCGTTCTAAAATAATTTTTTGAATTACTCTTCACATTGTCAACCACAAAGTCATATTACACTCTCATCATTTTTCTATCATATTGCCAATGTATATTCTTACTTGACACTTTTTTCTATACTCATATATTTGTTTTACAAAACATAAAATTCTTATTTTAGTATTTTCAAACAGTTTTTTACTCTTATCTGAGAAGATTTCTTCTTTCTTTACCAATTTTTCTTAGTTATTTGATTAAATAATATAGTTATATCACTTCTTGTTTCCTAGGATTTTTTATCGTAGTTTTTAAATATATAATTTTTTTAAAACTTTAACCTATAATCTAACAAATTGTTTGAAAATAATTTCAATCAAATCAAATTGAGAATAAAGTTTAGAATAAATTCTAAAATTGGTTCTTTATTATAGATGGCTTTCCCTATTTAGTTCTATTTATCAAATATTACCTCGGTGATCCTTCTTTTATAAATATCTTTCTACAAATAATCTTTTTTTGATCTTCTGTGATGTTCATGTTAGTTTGTGAATTAAAAGTGTAATTTCACAATGATAATATATTATTCTTGTCATACACAATTCTGTAAATTACTCATGTTGTGTTGTTTGTGAACTGCAGTCGCTTTATACTACAATCATATTCTACAAACGCGGTGTTTCATTGGAATCTTAGTCCACATATATAGTTATTATTGTTATGTTGTCCGTGTAACCAACATCAGAATACACCATTGTACATAAGTTTGATGTCAAATTACATTTTTAGCATTCAAATTAACACTAACATGATAGAAGGTAAAAAAGGACTATTTATGGAAATATACCCAAAAAAGAGTCACAAGAGTAATATTTGATGATAGAAGAGTAAATACGGAAAATCAAATGCTATAAGGGATCAATTACGAAATTTACTCTAAAATTTAAGATGGAAAGAGTTTTTTTAATACTCTATTAGTTTGTAATTTACCGAGTAGTAATTATACTTTTTTCGTCAAAAAAAGAATATAAATGATTCACAATTTAAAAGTTATAAGAGCTTTTGTTTATTTGTATATTTTTATTTATTACTCCCTCTATCCCTTTAAAATTCTCATTTTGACTTTTAAAGGATTTAAGGAAAGTGGATTTTGATGTTGATTTTCTAAAAATATCATTTGATGTGATGGATAAAGTAAGATGAAATGGGTAGATTAATAAAGAAAAAGCGTGATGTGATAGGTAAGTTAAGAATTAATAGGAGTAAAAGTGAGTTTTTAACAAGAAAAGAGAAGTGTTTTTTGGGACGGATGAAAAAGAAAAGAGGAAGTATTTGATGAGACGGATAGAGTATTTGATAAAATAAAATATGATTATAATCTCTTGTGATGAAGAATTTCAAATGTAGTTTTTAGCCATCTCAATTAATTTTTTTACTCGTATATTATTTGTTATGAAAATTTATACAAATATTTTTTCGAATGTTGTAGAACTCTCCCATTGTGAATGCTATCCCGTAGAACTGTAGAAGTCGCTCAAGTCCGTATATTGTCATTGACAGTTGAGCACTGGACGCCAAAGGGCCGCAAACAGTCTAGCGAAATTAACGCCTTAACTGACGGCGGGTCCCAAAATAAAAGCTAGTGGCAGAATCGTGAATAAACCAACTCACCAAGGGTCACATGGGAACCAAAACAGAACCACCAGCTTTTCCGCAGAGTTGCTTTATATAACGGCAACGGAGGGAGCCTCTCTGTCTCTCAGTTCTTCTTCATTCTGCTCCCGACGCTCCGGCCGGCCGCGCAATCGGAGCTCTCCACCGCCTCCGTCTCCCTCCGCATTATGGAAAGTCACAGCTGTTTCTTCGCGGTGGCGCTGGTCGTCTCCTCCTCCGTTCTCTTCGCTTCCGGCGACTCCCTCCGTCCTTTCGCCCGAGGATGGTACTCTGCCACCGCAACATGGTACGGAAGCCCCGACGGCGACGGCAGTGACGGTATCCTCTCCATTCCCTCCTCACTTTTCTCGGACTGTAAATGCCTCACATTTAGGAGAGATTTCAATTGCAATTTTGATAACTGAAATCTGGAATAAATAATGAGTAATAATTTTTATCTGAAATCTGGAGATCGAAATGAAATTGATGTGAATGGTGAATGTCTGTGGGGAGCAGGTGGGGCGTGCGGGTACGGGACGATGGTGGACGTGAGGCCGTACAGGGCGAGGGTGGGGGCGGTGAGTCCGGTGCTGTTTAAGAACGGCGAGGGCTGCGGCGCCTGCTACAAGGTCAAGTGCTTGGACGGGTCTATATGTACGAGAAAGGCAGTCACGGTGATTATCACTGACCAGGCTCCTGACCGCTTCAGTGACCGTCCGCTTCTCGACCTCAGCGGCGCCGCCTTCAGCCGCATGGCCGTCACCGGCTACAGTGGCAGCCTCCGTAACCGCGGCGAGATGCCCGTCATTTACCGCCGGTGGGTACTCCTATCCTTTTTCACTCTACTCTGCTTTGTTGCTCTGTATTTCTTGCCTTTCTAAATATGACGCGATAAATAAAATTAGAATGTAATTGATAAATTAACCTCCTTATTATAAAATTCTTTACCTTTTGTTTTTTTTCAATTTTCAAAAACACTATCACTTTCTATTAAAAAATTTCTTTTACTCTTACTTGTTTATACTTTACCTATCACATCATATTTTTTCACCAATAACCAAACTATCACATATTACTTTTACACATCACATCAGGGGCGAAATAGGAAAATCAACTAAAATTACACTTTTTTATTTTAGATCAAAGTCAGAATAGGAAGTGTTTAAAGGAAGGGAGGGAGAATTATTCAAAATGTTTTACTCCATATATGCTAGATAGATAAAAATTCATTGAAATAAAAATAAAGAAAAAGATTATTTAGGGAGAAGGGAGTATATGTGTTCAAACTTTAAAGTGGTATACGGCTCCGTAAATAGGCAGGTACTGGGAATAAGTACCGTGTCAATTGCTAGGGACTGGTTAGTCAACGGTCTTTTATTCTATTGCCATTTTTACAGCTTTTAACTGTCCTTTTTACAACTTTCCGTCCTAGAGTATTTGTTCACTTTCATTTTTACACACCATCCAATATATTTTTTTAATCCATTTTATCTTGTAATTTGTATATTAAAAAATTATAGAAATTATATATTAATAATCTATATGTTAAGACAAATCAAACAAGATCACACATGATTATATTTAGGCTTACACATTGAGAGAATTTGATGAGTCAAAGTGCTTAGATGAATAGTTCCAAAAGTCAAAACTGGACGAATACTCCGGGACGGAGGGAGTACTAAAAATTCTACCCAGATTATATTGATATTTTGTGTCAATGTAAATCAACGTACTAAGAGTTGGTTGTCAGGTTTAGCTTTTGGTTCTTAAATGTTTGTGTTTGTTATTTTGAATGATTGTTTAGTTTAATATATTAGATATGTTGATTGGTCGTTAAAAATGTTTGGTAAACCTCATTGTCATCTAGTTTTAAGAAATTAGTTTTCATGTTCAAGACTAGAGCAAAAATATAACTTGCCTCCACACGAGGAACATGTTAGAGCATAAAAAACATGTCCTAGGCGTACAACCACAAACTGCTAGAGTTTTGGTTGAATTAGTTCTTTGACAAAAGAAACTAGTAGATATGGTTAACAATTCTTCCGTTTATGAATCATAAATATAACTACAATCATAGAACAATAATATTAAAATAATGTATTTCAAAGTAATATAAAAGTGAAATTAAGGGGGTGATGCATTTAATATCAAAAAAAAAATGCAGGACGAAATGCAAGTATCCAGGGAAGAACATAGCCTTCCGGGTGAACGAGGGCTCAACCGGATATTGGCTTTCCCTTTTGGTCGAGTTTGAGGAGGGCGATGGAGATATTGGCTCCATGCACATCCGACAGGTACCATTCCATTTTCATCATTTCTCGATCACTTTAATTACTCCCTCCGTACTTACTCTATTTAAATTCATTTTTTGTTTTCGTTTAAATGATCCATTTTCCATGGCTGAAACTAACTAATAAATTCAAAATTAGTGCTGGATGATCATATAATTCAAAAAGTGTGGAGGCACCCTATAAAAAAAGGTTGTGCCAAATTTTCTCGACCGCACTACAAAAGTCGCACTCCACTCTACTTTTTGTTTTGGTTTATCAAATTACGGAGTATACTTTAAAACGTACCACTAATTCTCATGATTGCTCCTTTAAAAAAGTTTTGATAATACGGCCTTCAATATCAGTATATCACCCTTTAAATTTTTTCAACTTTATCCTTTTATTGCATGGTTCATCAAATGAAAAATTAAGAATAAATAAAAATGCATATGATCCATTAGATAAATTGGGACTGATATTTGATAACTCTCTATGTGGTGGTGGTGGTGGTGGGTGGGTGGGTGTGGGAATCAGGCGGGGTCAGAGGAGTGGTTGGAAATGCAGCAGATATGGGGGGCGAACTGGGTGATCAACAGCGGACGGTGGCCGCTGAGAGGCCCTCTTTCCGTGAAGCTCACAACCCTCTCCACCGGAAAAACCCTCGCCGCTAGAGACGTCATTCCCGGCAATTGGTCTCCCAGAGCCACTTACACTTCCCGTCTCAACTTCCGCGCCTAATTCCATTCTTCCATTCCTAGCAATATATTATGGCTGGCCGGCGCGACACACCATCCATCGCACCTTTCTTTAATCCTTTTTTATAAAGAAGAAAGGGAGAATCGCGTTGCACAATTGTGACACCAGATATGACACCACCGCTCTGTCTGTGTCTAAAACACAATTATTGTTGGGAGAGTATTATATCTGGTGTCAAATTGGGTGGCCTTTTGTATCAAATTAGTCATGTGTGGCCGGGTATGTGGTGCTGCGGGTGTTATAATTAGTAGTGTGTGCTTGCGCAGCAGTACGTGGCGTAGCCCTCTCCAAAGGAGAGTGAGCTCTTCACTCTCATATCATCATTGTTTTTTTATTTTAATTATTACGCAGTATTAAGTGTTAACTAATCTATTGTTGTAATTGTATTACTCTATGCATGTGAGTGGGTTGAATTGGTTAACTGCCAGCCAGCTAGCGCCAATGGGTTTGTCGTCTTTCTCTTCTCTGTGTATGCATGCTGTGTTTGGTCACTTTGGTGCAATCCGTCCAGTGCATGTGAAATGTTTATTGCTTATCTACTCAATTGGGGTAACGGATTGATGAAAATGTTAGTGAACACCAAACATTTTGGTGTATCTTAAACCCTATATTATATCCTTATTCATATTGAATAAATCCAGCTAGTGGTATACCAAAATGGAGTACTCCATTTATATACATCAAGCAAATGGAAACAGTTAATTGATCACAGACACTAATTAATTGTATTTATCTGACATACAAATGAAGTACCACATTTTGGTATATTAGTATGACTCATTCATATTATATACTCCCGTAAAGCATGAGAAATGTATCTAAACTAATTGATATTTGTAAGATTATATTAAGATGTTGAATCCAAAATAAATATGATATCTTTAGTTATTTACAAATTAGAAGTCTTAATAAGTTTTTGTATTTTATACTTCTTATATTTGTGACTTTATATTTAATTTCTTGAATTAAAAAAAAACAACGGCAGGGAATTATTTGTGGGTCATCGTGCTCTAAAATTGGAGGGAACAGTTCAAATTAAACCCCATCAATTACGGTGTTGTCTGATCGCAAGATTTTTTTTTTTTAAAAAAAAAATACACAATGTTAGTACTAATAATTCAGCTACAAGTGTCACGTTCAGCATGCAGTTGCATCCAGCATCCACATTTGCTAGGCGCATCTTTTCCGAGTCAATGCAGAGTCCCCACATACACATCCCCACATACACATCCCCACATACACAGATGCATGCCCCAACAAATAAATTCTCTCTAAAAAAAATGCAGCTACACTTGCACCAAAAAATAAATCCCAAAGTTACACCGAACGTATACACTAACATTTTGATAGTTCATACTGACTAATGATGATGCGTTAACAAAAGTCTGCAGTTACATTTTAGGTTTGTGTGAACTATCAGCCTACATTACACCGACACAAAATGTAGGTGCACACCTACGGTGTACAAATTGAGGTACAAATTTTGGAGTACAAATAGCTGAATCCAAAAAACGCAAAATCCGAATTAATTAACCATATCATCTAAAAAGGAGTGCATGCTTTTTTAGTGCACCTTGGGTGCATATTTTTTTTTTGTACACCTTCTCACATAAAAAGTCTTTTTTATTTTTAATTAAAATAAATGCCTATAACGATAGTTAGGATTTGCTTAATTACATTATATGTAAGTTCATGGTGAATCTTAGATCTGCCATAAAATTTGCCAAAAAAGTTGTAGACTAATTTAGCTTTTAAATATCTAAAATTTTCAAAGATCATACTCCAAATATAATTTCCTCCATGCACAATTACCAAAAATCGAATTCGAATTAACTGTTTTGATATCTTCCAGACCCCCAACATTTCTCTAGAATGTGTCTAAAGACTAAGTTAAGAGTAGTAAAATTGATTTATAATCTCAGTCTTATACAGAAAGAGGGAGATTTGTTCCTAAAATATTTGAACACGGGTTAATTACTGTGGCACTACTCTTTTGATCACCTAAGCTATCCTCCTTACAACATTAGGACTATATGAGATGTAGTTTACATTTTTATGTAGAGGCGCAAAAAGGATAATGCATTAATGTATGAATTGGACTAGCTATATTAATTTCTATGTAATAATTAAAACACATCAAAAAATATAAAGAAAAGTGACAAAAGGTAATTACTTTCCACTGCAAGGCTTACCAATCCATTCACATACAACTTGCTGGCTGAATAATTTTTTATTAGTAAAAATATATTATGTCAATATTGACATTCTATTTTTGTCTCACCATTGCCCGTGTTCTAAATGAGGATCATGTGCATACAGCATACCCTATAGTATTTTAGTCACATGTAATAGGAACATATTGTATCTTTATTCGTCTGTATCCAGATTCCATACAGGTTTCATAATCATTCTCCTAATTCATAGGCAACCCACCATTTAAGACAACATTTGAAAACTAGAGGATCCGAATGTAAACACGCATAATCCACATGGATGTATACAAATTGGCGGACGATTAATAATGAAATCATGGTTTTGGTCTCACATGGATGTGCATATATGCATGTGATTCAAAGGGGTGCACCAGCCAGCGCACGGGCTAGCGGTCCCCGGAACTGCTGGCTGGATGGTGTGTGCCCTACGCCCCTCCCTATGCCTTTGCCATAAATTCAATGCTTTGATTTGTTGCTGTTATCTATATCTCCATGTGGGCGCATATATACCGAGTCTATGTATAATATTCTCTCTTGAGTCCTAAAACCTTTTACTCCATATATTTTAACTTTTTCTAGTCAAATAGAAATATTCTTTAACCACATGTTAAACATAATTTAAATAAATAAATTATATAAAAATTTGATATATAAAAATTACTCTCTCCGTCTCCCTAAGGTGTTCTCATTTTGACTTTTGGTCGTTTTTAAGCAGAGTTGAAAAAAGTAAAAGTTTACCATAATACCCTTAATGAAAAATGGGTGGAGTGTATTAAATGAGGTGAGTGAGGTGTAATAAATAAAGTAAGTGGGGGTAGTTGTGGTATTTTACTTGTAAAAAAATGAAATGAGAAGATCAATTGTGGACAAAGAAAAAGGGCTACTGAGAAGATCTATGGAGGACCGGGGAAGTATATTTTAAGATGAATCTAATTATATTAAATTTATATTATAATAAAATATATTATAAAAATCTAATTTCCGCAATCTATAACTCTTGAAAAAGGTCTCGGCGGGACGTGCAGGGCCTCGATCGGTCAAAGACCCATTAAATTTGAATTTTTCTAATTCTAGGCCTATTTTGTCGTCGTTTTAAGGTTTCCAACATGTTTTACAGTTTTCCAGATATAAAAACCGGCTTGTGGGTGTAGTTTTATTTAGACCAAATTTTTATCAATATGATCAAAGCCTAGAGAGACTTTCTTCCCTAGCATTTTCCCCTTTCATTTCATTGTGATGTTTTATCACACGCCTAGATTCAGTTCGACATCAAATATTATCCTTGAATCTGATTGATAAGATGTGTCAAGGAACCAATTCAACCAAAAGGTCAAGCTTGTGGTTGTGGCCCAGGAATGATTGGTATGTACTCTAACACGCCCCCTCACGTGCAGGCGTGACCTCTTTGAGCCTTGCACGTGAAACCTTAATTTTTTTTAAACTGGGTGGCGGTGAGCTTCGAACTCGTGACCTCTTGGTTATTAAGGCTCCGATATCATGTCAAGGAACCAATTCAACCAAAAGCTCAAGCTTGTGGTTGTGGCCTAGGAATGATTGTTATATACTCTAGCAATGTTATTGCTAGTTTTAATTATTCGAGTTCTGGTTAGTCTTATTTCTTCTTGTTCAATTATTGATGATTGTAAGTCTACGTACCGAGTGTGGGAGATATTTTTGATTTTGTTATATTTTCAACCTTGCTAATGAGACCGTGCATTTGTTAGCGCGAGCATTTCATTCTTCTAGAGTTTGAGAAATAGGATTGGTTCACCTCCAAAATATATTTTAAACATGATCAAAATTCACCCATAACTTCTTTAAAAAAATTAAAAATAAATTACTTTTACTGTCCTGCAAAACATTTCTTATTTTGACTTTTGGAAGAGAAAATTGTAAAAGTTTGACTAATGTAAAACGTCGACAATCGAAACGAGTAGAGCTCAAAAAATATCAAAATGGGTAGGGCATAGAAGATTGTTGAGGTGGTAGGTTCGGTAAGATTTAAGAGAAATAAAGAGAATTATGTTCATTTAGCCCAAAGTGAAATGTTTCATTGGATAATTAAGATGTGAAAATTGAAAAGTTTAACGAGATGAAAGAAGTATAATCAATTAAAATAAGAAAGCTTCCTAAATAATACTCCGTACTCCGTAGTATAAAAATATGAAAATATCAAGATAGAAGACATAAGTCTTTTAAGACCAAAATAGGAGTTCAGACTGCTACTGTTAAACTGTCACACTCAGCACATTGTCACATTGCAACTACCACACTACCACGGTCACACAGTCATCCGTCACCGTCAGATGTGAGAGTATCGTCGCGAATTGCCGGTAGTTGATTGATCACACTTCCATAATATAATGTTATCACCATTCTATCGCACTGTCAACACGTACTTTTATGTCACAATACCATTATACTCATATTTTGTCTTAAAAAATTTAGAATTTTTATTTTGATATTTTTATACTTTTTTACTCGTTTTCTGGTAGATTTTTTAATAAAAAATGAGGCCTCCCATCCCTGAGATTAATCAATTACTCGTAATAAAAAAACTGAAAGATTAATCAATTAACACGTGCTGGCATCAATTTTTATTCAACAAAATAGAACTGCGAAATCGGATCGAGTTTTCTTCCATTCATCCCTATGTTTTCTATCATTCATCGCCTGTAGATTCATCCAAATATGTTGCGAGTATAATTTTCCAGACATGGCGTCGTTTGATGAGAGCTACGGGACGGCGGAAGGCGATGGGGTCCACCTTCCCTCACACCCCTTCGACGACGACGACGCATACATTGGCTACGATCCTCGAAATCCGTCGGAACAGTACGAATTCGACGGTCCCTCAAACGACGGCGGCGTCCCTCCTCCGCCACCGCCTCCTTCGCACGATTACTTCGGCGGCGGCGTTAGCAATGACGGCGGCGTGCAGTCGCCTGAGGCTTATGGGTTTGCATCCTCCGTAGATCAGGATTATACGCGTTCGCCGTTTGAAGGCTCGCGGCCGCAGGATTCTCCCAGGTCCGATGTCCAATCGAAGCCTCGCGACTCGGAGGGGCTCTTCAGCTCTGGCGGTAGCGGCGGCGGCGGGCCTCTGCTTCCGGAGCCTAGCCAGATGGTGGAGGAAGGTGCCGCGTTTCGCGAGTGGCGCCGGTGAGTTATTCTGAAAATTGTTTAATTAGGGATTAATATAAATAAATACTCATAATTGCAAGATTTGAGCTAATGAATCTGATTAATTGGAGGAAATTCAGTGTTTATAATCTTATAAATGCCTCCAATTAAATAATCCAACATTTTCAATCCCTCATTCAATTCATTTCTTGAACTGCAGCTGAGATGAATGATCTACAACACATTGAATCTTGAATCTTGGGGAAAATGCTGTGATTATTAAAGCTCTAGTTCCAATAAATTCCCAAGATCCCAACTAAGTTATTATTCCCTAAAATGATCTCCCAATGCTTAATGTTTTTTTATGACAATGTAAATGATTCTGAAGATATAATTAGACAGAAATTGTTTTGTTTGACCCATGGAATCTAGCATGTGACTGATCATAGTTTTGCTTCTTTTCTTGTTCATCTCTAATGTGGCTGTGCAGTCAAAATGCTATATATCTTGAGGAGAAAGAAAACAAGGAGAAGGAAATGCGAAATCAGATTATCCAAGAAGCCAATGAATACATCCGAGCATTTTATGAAAAAAGGACCCAAAATTGTGAGACCAACAAGGCTCAAAATCGAGAAAGAGAGAAGGTACATACAAATTCGGTAAACCAATATACTCCATAGATTTTAAAATATATAAGTATGATTTGTTTTTTCCATCATCTTCGATGAAGCCAAAGATTCACTATTTTTGGCTTTTGGGTATTTTGAATTAAAACAAAATGGCTATTTACCATAAGGAAACAACCGCTCTTTGTTTCATCATGGCTATTTTTTGATATTTTCCATCATGGGTTATCGAGAAACAATCGTTCTTTGTTTTGAACATAGGGCTCAATATGATTTGTGAGAGTTTTACCATATCAAAATAAAAAAGATGTACATTGATCAAACAAGACCATTTTTTGGGATTGAGGTAGTAGTATATCTTATATGATTGAATTTTTCGGAGTGTCAAAACAAGTTCTTGTTTTTGTGAAGTTGTACCTGGCCAACCAAGAGAAGTTCCACAAAGAAGCGGATAAACACTACTGGAAGGTAATTGCGGAGCTAGTACCTCGCGAGGTTGCCAATATTGAGAAAAGGGGAAGAAAGAAGGAAGAGGAAAGGAAACCCGGAATCACAGTCATTCAAGGTCCAAAACCAGGGAAACCAGCGGACCTATCAAGAATGCGTCAAGTTCTTCAGAAGCTGAAGGTGAAGCCCCCACCACATATGATGCCTCCCCCTCCCACAAAGGACTCGAAGGATGGTGGCAAGGAAACAAAGGACCCAAAAGGTGAGGGTAAGGAAGCTAAGGGGGGTAGCAATGAGGCAAAAGACATGAAAAAGGATGAGAAGAAGGATTCTACACCAAAGACAGGTAAAGATGTTACACATGGAGACGAGCCGGTTTCGTCTAGTAAGGATGATGGAACTGGTGCAATAACTGAATCCCCTAAAACCGATATACCACCTGGTTCAGGTGAAGGTGAAAAGGAAATGGTCACTGATTCTTCAGCCTCTTCTGCATAGGCAGGCAGAGTGATATTTTTTTGTTTCTTTAAAAATACCTTTTTTAGACACTCAACTATTATCTTCTCTTTGAAGTATTTCATTCATTCTTTGTTCCTAGCATTACAAGTAGCTAGGTTGAGAAATAAGATCTTTGCAATTGCTTTTTCAGTTTGTAAGAGACTATCAATTTGTTTGAATGGAGAGGGATAAAGTTAGGGAGACATAGGTATATTGACCCCTTGCCTCATCTTAAAACGATCACTAGAGAGATAGAGTAGTTGCAATTAAAGACTTCTTTAAATAGAGAAAGCACATGCATTGAGAAGACATCTGGTTGTAAATAGTAGAGAAATGAGCATATATAGAGTAATGGGACATGGGAGCATTTAGGATGCATTTTTGTATCGTGCCAACCCCGCACGAGGATAGAAATTGAGATTTACAAGGCAAAATCTCTCATTTTTAAATTTATTTTATTTATAAATTGATATATCGATAAAAAATAAAAATTACTTTTCAAAAAACTTTGTCAAAAGTTGTCAATTGCACGTTACCTTACCTCTAAAAGTGGAGGGTATACATACTTTGTATACTTTTTTTACTGTAACATCTTTCTCCTTCACATCAGGGCCACATCTGATTTTTCAGATTTCATACTTCTTTTACTCCAAGTGGAGGTGCACATACGCCAATTCGCCAACTTACTACACATATTTCAAATAAAAACCCGTTAAAAAAATAAAACTTAAAAACTACAATAATTATAAATACTTAATTTCTTTAATAACTACAATAATTTTTTTAAAAAATGCAAATTATATAAATATCTAATTGACACAATAACATCGCGATAAGATCTCATTGATTTAAACGAAACTATGACACTCCATAAAAGAAAATAACAATAAAAGATACTCCGTAAAAAAACTTAAAAACAACAATACTACTACATAGAAGAAAATAGCAATTCAAAACAAAAAAAAAATTAACATAACCTTACTAGAAAGAAAGGCGGAGTAAATTTAGATAATAAGTACTAAAAATATACATTTATTTTTTAAGAGAGAGTTGAGAGAGTAAGGTTTAAAAAATAGGTGTGGCTCAAATAATTAAATAGGTTTAAAACTGGTTGTTTTTAATTGTGAAAGTTAATATTGCTATTAAATAAGAGAAATTTACCTAAATAGGACTAAAACATAATGACTTTCCCAATATATGACCATATGTTTTTATTTCCCAATGTAGGACTTTTGGTCATTATCAAGTAGTCTTTATACAAGTAAATGTCCATCATTACTGGACATTATTCCTCTCACTAGGTCATTATTAAGTCCTATTTAGGGAATAAAAAAGTTTAAGTCCTATATTGAGAAAGTCATTATGTTTTAGTCCTATTTAGTGCAAATTTTACATTAAATAAAGGGAGACTCGCCCAGTATCATCTGCAAGAGACTAGACTGGTTTATCGATTGTTTTTTTGTACCAAATGGTAAGGGATAGTGTTACCCTACCTGCCAAATTACCACATCAATTTATTTTGATACTAATTTAAGTTTACTGAGTCCATACTATGCACCCTAAGGCCTTGCCTTATGGATTGCAGTTTGCGAGAAGGTGATGTGGTATCGCGGGACAGAGGGGAACACCGCCCTTAGCGAGAACGCAGGCCATGTTATGTTTTCTTCACCTGATATGATTGGTTCTGATTTAATAGGAATAATTTGTAATTTGATCTGAAATGTAGTTATATTTAAAACTATTTGTGATCTGATTTGAATAAGAATAAGTAATAAATATAAAATAATAAGTTAGAGAAAACATGGCCAAAATCCCCATCTTGTTTTTCCCGTTGCTTTTTCCCTTCTTTTGCTTTTCTTTTCTTCTCTTTCGTTCTTTGTTGTTTTCTTTTTGCTTTTCTTCTTCTTCTTCTTTTGTACCTTTTTTTTTTCAGTTTTTAATTCTTTTAACTTTATAATTTTTTAAAATTTTTCTTCAGGTTTTAAGTTTTTCCCTTATATTTAAAAAATGGATGGGGGCAACATGCCAATAGGCCTAAATGCAAAGCGGCAAGAGCAAGGCAATAGAAATGAAATATGGACTATAGAGTAACAGACAAAACTCAAGCTGATATAAATAAGTTCTCCCTTTGTCACACATATTCACACATTACATTCATCTTTATTACGGAGTATTCCAAACTCTCAAATCACCACATTATTTCAACCCATTACTTATTTCAGGACCACATATTTATACATTTACATAATTGCACACTCCAGCAGGACAACTGAAATTGATAAACACTACATATGTATTGTCTCAAAGCTTCTTCTTGACAACAAGAACCTGGCAATTGGCATTGTTGACACAGTAGTTACTGACACTTCCGAGGATCGCCCTGTTTCATAGTGCCGAAACCACGGGAAAAAAATTGATTAAACTGGACTAACGCACTTCCAGTGCTCTTATAAATTAGATAAAAACAAATAAAACGTACGTAATCGTCCGTGCAATATGATAAAAATATTACTCTCCGTTACGAGGTGAGTATAATGTTGTGGAATTTTTGTAACTTTAGGGTTAAAAAGAACCTTTTTAGAGCTCCTCGACTGTGGCTTCCCAGCACAAGCAATTGGATTTTCATCTTTTCTACTGCTTGACATATGGCGTCTTTCGGATCTCCGGCTTCTATAACTCTCTCAGTAGTTATCTGTCAAAGGGAAATGTCCCATACTTAGAGCCATATGCAACCACATATGCGCGGTTTGATACACAGTTTCACTTTCACATTTGTGTGGTTCGGCAGACAGTTCCGGCTTATAGTTGAACCAAACAAAACATAAAACTGCTAAAAAATCTCTCTATATGACAGTTCTGTTTGAAAATGTGTAGCTAAATATGGGCATTTTAGTCCATTGGAAAGAAATTGGATTCTCATTTGGGAAGTTGGGGGAAGGGAGCGAGTAATACTCCATCCGTCCCACAAAAAACTTCATTCTATTATTTGTCGGTCCCAAATAAACTTCACTTACCTCATTTCTTTTTAATAAACGAATATGTGGCTCATAATGGCTCATAAAATTTCTCATTCCTTAACAAATTCTAACAACACAATTTTAACTTTTCGTAATTTCAATGAAAGTCAAACAATAAGGCTCCGTTTGGCACACAGAATTCAATTAATGGAATTGGAATTTGGGACACCAAGGGACACCAATTCCAATTCTGCTGTTTGGTAGCACAAAAATATGTGGATTTGGAATTGATAGTGCCAAAAATGAATTGAAATTGGATAATTCAATTCCATCCAAATCAATTCCATAGAATTTCAACTCTCAATTCAATTCCAATCCCGTAGTATATCAAAATGCATAAAGAGAAATTACCCCATGCTTTTTGCAGATATCATCAGCTTTCTCCAAAAGAACAGTGGCAACTTTCTTCTGATTATCTTGAATAGACTTCAGTAGCTCAGGAGCTGCAATGGAGAAGATAACAGTGAGATCCTAATCCTCGGAGGGTATGTCGAGATCAGGAAACAAGCCAATCGAAAGGAAAGGAAGACAGAGTGAAGGGAAACAGAGCTTACGAGTAAACCCTAGTGAAGAGGCGTAGATGTAGCCATAGTCGACCATGGGCAGGACGGTGAATAGCACAAGCTGCGAGTTCAGTAACGAATCGTGAAAGTTCTCGAGAGTCCATTCGAGCGCATAGCGGCTGAACTCGCTCTCGTCAATAGCTATCATCACCTTCCTCTTCATCGTCTTCTTCCCTTCTTCATCCATTGGCGATCTCCAGGTTGGCAGACCTGCTGGATTTTCTCCTCTTTTTATTGCTTTGTGTTTCTGGAAGAATGTAGTAGTAGAGGTGTTAGTTTTCCTGCCTCTGTTTCTGGATGAATCTGTGAGCCCAGACTGATGTGGATTGGGATGTGTGACCTGATGGCTGATTCTATTTGGATCGGGTCATGTTAACCAAAATTTACATGGAAACAAAATATTGGTGCGTAAATAAAAATTAGCATTATACCAACACAAAATATTGGTGCACGCCTGCAGTGTACAAATGGGATACAAACCCTTGGGGTACAAATAGCTTTATCCTTTGGATAAATTTACTTCTACACTAATGATTGTTTTAAAAATGTACCTCAAAGATTTACATTCATTATAGAGTAATGCTTATATGGTCTCAAGGTTCATATTTAAAATGTGAGACGTTTTGTCTCAAGTGTGCGGCTTTGTCTCAAATGTCATAATAATGTTCCAAGTTTCTTAAAGAGTATCTCTATGTCCCATTTTTTTACTCTTCATTGTCTTCAATGTAATATTTTGACCATTAATAATCATATATATATGTATAAACATAAACTATAAAAGTATGATATTTCAAAATTACGTTTCAAAATGGATCTATTAATATTAAATTTATATTATAATTTAATTTTTCCCCATAATTTGTGGTCAAAATTTAAAAACATCGATCATAATAACTAAAATGAGAAGAAACATATGGGACGAAGGGAGTAGAATTAATAAATTAAACTTATATAGAGTACTATTTTAAAACTAATTAAAAAATTTTATAAAAAAATGTTGACAAAATTATTTTATTTTATGATATTATCAATGACAATAGGAAAAGAAATTGAATATGTTGACCATGTAAATAGTGAAGTTGAAATGTCGCCTAAGAGACCCAGGGCTGAGAGGAATCAAAGAGAAAATCTAGAGAATGAGAGTATGAATTAATGAAATCTGAGATCAACCCCCTCTCTACATGCCAGAGAAGGGTATAATTATGCTTTCCAAGCATCTACTTTGACACGGACGCCACATGTTCACGTAACTAACTTATAGTACAAACTATCTAGCATTTTCTGAACCGGCCCAAATATCTAACACACCGTACTCTAGCTCTCTGCTAGTCGAGGTTCCTCTTAGCCAATTGCCATACGCTAATTGGGTCTTCGTTCTCGATCTTCAACATTCCTCCCTTTGGTAGAATAAAAACATTACGGAGTATATTTTTTTGAGATCTATTAATTTTATTATAATGCAATATCATATTCATATTTTCTCAACCTAAACAAAGAAAAGATTCTTATCATAAAATAAAATCTTTCTTGCATAATTAAATTAGTGGCGAAATGTTTAAAGAATGTGGTAAAAATTTCACTTTATAAATAATAAACAAATAATTTAAATTAGGACGAAATGTGTAACTTCCAAAAAAAATTATCTCAACTAATAGTGAAAAGTACTCTGTATGTAAAATTCCTTAAAAAAGTACCCTAAAAATAAACTACTCTTTAGAAAAAAGAAAATGTAAATGAATAAATAACGATTATAAACAAAAACAAATTAACCAACCAAATGGAACAAAGGGTGTTTTCGATCAGTTTCAAGGCTAATAGGTTAATCAATTAACCTAACATTTTGTAACAAATATCAATTTCATTGTTTCTCTAAAATGTCAAAAAATTAAAAGAAACTCCATCCAAACTAGTGAAACTGCATTCATGGTGGAACACATTATTGAGACTTGAGAGAGCTGATACAATCCTCTTGGACCCACTTTGAGTCATTGTTTGGCATTAGCCTTAACCAAACTTTTCCCATTTTGGTTAAGACTCCTAGCTCATTTTCAAAATGTACACAGCTAACTCAAACGACATTATATTTTGTTCAAGAAATTTGAAAGTGAAAAGAAAAGAAAATTATCTTGAGTACAAAAATAATTTGTTTTCTTTGATTAGAGTGGAAAAGTGAAAGGAAAAAAATAGAGAAAATAGAATTAAACAAAATTATCAACTTTCTTTCAATTTTAGTGAGGAAAAGGAAATTTCACTAATCAAAATGGCTTTAGGTCAATTCGACCTCTGCCGTTCTCTACGGTTTGATGTATCCCAGCATTCATCCATAGTGAATGGTGTTACAAGAGCCAATTTATGCAAATGTTTATCTTGTGGTAAAGAATGAGCTAAATCAATATTAGGCATTAAATTTATCTCGCTAAATCAAGATGACACATTAAATTTATCTCCCTTTTTTTACTTTCTATCAATAAAAATGCATCAACCCATCTATGAGTCTAATTGTACAAAAGTTTCGTTTCTTACAGGGTAAAATTGTGTATATCTTGACCACTGATCCCAACCATATTTACTCCAATTATACTGTCATTTGTTCGTTTCGTTGTTGTTGTCGTTGTCGTCTATGTATTCGAAGCCACTAAAAAGAGAGAATCACAAAAGGTTGTAGGCTGGTAGATCTGTCATCCTGTTTATGTCTTCTAAGGACAATTCTCTCTCTAATTGCATTCTTGTCACTTGCAAAACATCCTGAACCAAGAGGATCCACATGGTTATTAGTACAACTCCCAATAGTACTACTGTCATTCATACAAGACAGTCATATAAAAAGCACACACTACAACGGGGTGAGTTTGCCATGGCTTTTCACCCAAACTTTTGGCTTTTGCCGTTTGCAAAATTGTGGGTGGAGCTTTATTTTGTGCTGCAGACAAAATCCGATTCCAACTTGTTTTCATCGTAATTCACTTTCTGGAGAAGCTTGAAATCAGATTTTATCGGAATCAGCTTTTTGCTAAGAAGTTTATGTAATTCGCAGAACAAATGGCAAACACCCCCAATGGAGTTTTTTTTCTATATAGTAATAGTGATGAGGGGGAGAGAAGTGTTACATTGAATTCCATATATGAAGCATTCATAGCCAGCCATTGAGCATCCATCAATGCCAATGCTATGCAGTAAAGCACATCAAATGCATCTTCATCTTCTGCAGGTGCTCGTAACAAGTTAACAAAAAATAATTTAACAGATCAAATGGAAATTCTTGAGCTCAAAGTAAACTACTTATAGTATATAGAGGAAAGCCTTACCTGCTAATAATTTTACAAAATTGATTCCCGGAAGGCATCTAGGTTTCGCTGCAAGGATGGAAAATCATCTAAGGTTATTATTGGTAGATTCGTATAGCGCAAGACATACTCATTTCCATATCTAAATGGTGGATTTTTGAGACTTTGATAAGCGTTCTCATAAAATAATATACAGGGCTACCTGAACATAAGTCCAGCATTTGAATCAACATAAATGAAACATTAACCCCAGCAACTGCAAATGGGTACTCCCATGTTGCTCGGTCTCCAACTTGTTTGAGAAGTAACCTATTGAAACAAGCCTTCCATTTGAATATCATACTATCAGTTAAAACATTATGCCAGCTGGGCTGTTGTTGTTGTACTATCACATTATGTCACTTTGAACACGAGATATAAGGAAATAATTATCACATGTGAAACATCATTTGCTCTTTGATCTCTCCAAGAGATGTAATTCTGTAAAAACCTTACCGGATAATTTCTTGCGAAGTACAATAAATTCTCGAGTGAAAGAAAACCACAACCCCTGGTATCAAGAAAGTTTAATTTAATTTCATAGAAAAATATACATTTTCTTTAATGAGGCAAATCATTCGGCTGACACTAATTATATATTCAGAAGTACAGACTGAATTATTTCTTGGGTTTATCATGATAATGTATGTGTGGGTTGGGTTGGGGGCAAAGACTAAACACACCTGAAATCAGTTGCTGGGTTAGAACCTTGCCAACCCATATCCTTCCATTGCTCAGAGATCATCCCTTTAAGCTTAACACCTGGAAATGACATATTCCACAAGGATAGCAGTGCTTCCTGTAATGGGAATGTAGTAATGACTAATGAGAAGAGATTGAAATCGAGATTTTAACTTAAGAAGTTTGTGCTCTTTCAAAAAGTACCCACTAAGAGGCATCCTGTCACAAACTTGCAGGAAAACAAATGTAATGGTTCACATAATCAGCTTGCAAACCATTTCAATGGTATAATTTATTAATTATTACTTGACTCTAAAGATAAAGATATGGCAAGGGGTAAAAGATAGAAAGACTATTAAAACCATATGTCATTGCTTGCATCTCGAAATGGAAAGATAGAAAGAGACATGATTACGTATTTTAAGCACACTTCAAGGGTTTCAAAAGACAAGCAATAAACAAATTGGAAAGAGCATAGTGGTAATACTTGATGATCATGCCGAGACTCATCAAAAGGTACGCCTAATCGTTCTTGTAGCTTATGAAGTCTTTCCTCCTGCGATGAATACATAGCATTGTTTCAAGGCAAAGAAAGAAGCTAACATATATAACACAATGTATGAAAAAGAAACGCAAGATATACAAATAAATTGATATTAATGCAAATTGCGAGGATTTGTTAGGTCAGTAGCATTAGACTATTGGTAAAGGTAAAAACAACGTTCAAAGGAAAGTTAGAGAGCTAGGGAGGGAAAGTTTGCAGATTGCACATATAATCATAATTACATTCAAGAAGGAAATGATATTCTAGAAGTTCATATCTACCTGTTCAGGAGTCAAAGTATAGTCAATAAGTTTGTCACTTCCAAACCGTTTATTGCTTGTGCGGTTAAAAATTCCTCCAACCCATGTTCGTGGTCCAACCATAGCATTAGCTACATAAAAAAACTGAAAATAAGGGTGAAATTTTTTACATTAAATCATAGCTGGGACTGCAGGTGCATCAATCAACAAATCAGTAGTTTTCATGCTGATAGAGGTCATTTTTTTTCTCTTTAATGAGTAGTCACATATCAAAGACCCTTCAACTATTTTGAGTCGTGCGCATCGAAAGCTGAGCATAACTTGTCAAGTTCCTGTGAACTATTTCTTTTTTGAGTTATCAAAGATAAAAATGCTTCATTGATACAAACAAAACTTAGAGAATCATGTACTGCACCCCATTATTTATCTCAGTTCCGGTTGATTAAGGCATGTCACATAAAATACAATCTTTTTTTTGTAGCCAAGAAACCAATGAAAACCATGCAATACTAGCGCCCAAGAAGCATAGTGTGACATGAAAGAAGCAAAGAAGTTAAGAAATAATACTACCTCCGTCCCACTATTTTTGGGACATGGGGGAGGCAAACAAATTAAGAAACATAAGTTTTTGTGGTTGGTATTGATGTTAAAAAGTAAGATAAAGTAAAAGTGATTGTGAGCTACACAAATATGACAAAATATGGAATGTGACAAAAATAGTGGGACGGACAAAAAAGGTAAAATGGGACAAAAAGAGTGGGATGGAGGGAGTAGTTTAATGTAATGATAAGTGAGGGAGAATGCTAAAAAAACATATAGTATATGAAGAAGAATGAATGTGTCCATAAATTTCACTCACTAAAACACTGGGCTAACTGTGATATTACGTGTGTAGAATTATCTGAGCAGCCTGATTCTCCTTCTTGCTTCTGCCTGCCCCAATATACTTCATCTTCATCAACCTAAGTTCATTATCATCTGTGAGCATTTGAAGTAGCCATGAATGGTTTAAACATGTTTAAACATAATTAGAAAAAAACAAAGATAAGAGCAAGAATTAAGGATAGATGCATCACAAATAATGAAATCATGGCATGAATGGTTTCAACATTTTAGACAGAAGTGATAAAGAAACATGAATGTTCACTGACAACAAATTCTCCTTGCAACACGAACTGGACGGAATGAAACTATAGATTCACATGCAAAGTTCCAAAATTGCAGAACTATGGAAGAAAATCAATTATCTATTCTTCATAAAGACAGAAACTAACAAACAATACCAATTAGAAGTAGTTTTCTTATAACAGCTTGTATATTTGTATGCAAACACATATCACCATTTATGTCTAAGCAACTCCAAGGTAAGAGGTAATTGAAAGGGTAAAGAACAATAATTGTCAAATTCACCTTTTTCTTCACACAAGTTATCCTCCAACGGGGAAGGTAAATGAGAAGGTATTATACCTTAATTTTGGAGAGGTTCTTTATCTCCTCAATTTTGGAGAGGTATCCCAATTTCTTCTCTTTCCTTAAAATATCTTTATTTTAGGAAAAGTATATTTACCTTCTCCATTTACCCTCTTCCATTGGCATCAACAACTTTTTAGAAAGATATATCAACCTTCTAGAGAAGGTAAATAAGAAAAATACCTTCTCAATTTACCTTTTCCCTTTGGAGTTTCTCAAGCAGACAAAGGCAGTAGTGTGTGTGTGTGTGTGTTGCTCAACAAGTATTTCCTTAAACTAACACAGTTCATTAATGAGGTTAAAGAATAAAATGAGTGCAAGCAGGAACAGCTTACTCTGTGATGAGAACACAATAAAATATACATTGGCTATGCCTTAATCTCATTTGACAGATAAAACACAAAATAAATATGAGGGATTAGATTATCAAACAGTTTGGGTAAAAAAGGAAAAGCAACATGTTGAATCGTTGATGAAAAGTCACTCAAATGATTGTGCCATCCCATGCTTTGTTTTACACAGTTCAACCTATCATCATTGGAGGCCTCATAAATCCATTTCTCTCTTCACATGCTCAGATAAAAAGTAAAAGGTAAAAACTGTTGTGGGACTGGGTAAATATGGGATGAATTCCTTAAGTTGTCCGTTGGTCCCCCTATATACCCACAAACAACATGATCAATCCACTAGGATTTGAATCATGTATTTATGACCAAGAAGCAGATTCTTAACCTAAACTTCTATAATTCCTATGTTTCAAAATTCCTTTTGGAATTTTTATGAACGGGCTTGCATAAAAGATGGAAAATCAACTTTTACTTTTATCAAAAAAGGAAAAGGATCGATTTCCCTAACGGAGTAGTGGAAAAGAGAAGAAAAAAAAAGGACAAATGACAAACTCGGGGATCCATTAACAATGAAAACACGTACCTCGTAAAGCAAAGGAGAAGAGAAACTCTGGCCCTTGATTCATCGCTGACGGAAAATGTTGGCGGCGGAGGAAAGGAATCGGCGGAGCCCACAACGAGTAGGTGGAGGGAGAAGAGGTGGAGATAGCGGATGCCGGCAGCTGTAGTGGGACTCGTGGCGGTGGTGTGGGGCATCAGATCAGAGGAGAAAATGTGAAGGGAACATTCGTAGGAAAATAAGGTTTGAAATTAGCAAAGGTCTGAACAAGAACAACTGTAAAAACAAAACCCAAATGCGGTACAAATTTTTTATTTTATAAATTAATGACACCATTTCTCTCAAATTATATTTTTTTTGTAAAAACACTCCACCTACCAATTTACTTGCACAATAAAATTATATAATTTTAGGAAGAATTTCCTAAATAGGAATAAATAATTATGAAAATACCAAAATAGGAGTTCACACTGTCATTGTTACACTGTCACACTCATCGCATTGGTACATTGCAACTGCATCGCCACACTACCATTCGTCGTTGCCGACCACCAGAGTGCCGATGGAGATCGCTGACAGTTAACTAATCACACTAACATATTATATTATCATCATTTTTCCATCACACTGTCAACACGTATTTTTACAATGTAATATCTCAACTCACATAACTTGAATACAATATACTAGTGAGTCGGCTTGCTACTAAATCGGTATCCATAAAAAGTATTTTGGAAACAACAATTTAAAAATTATATCATAATCAAAATATTTTCAAAACATTATCAAACATTATTGGAGATTTTATAATAGTGCGGAAGCTTATGTAAACAAATACCATTATTTGATCATTACCAAAATCCATTTGTTCAAAATTCTATTTAGCTCATCAATAGTTTGAGCCTACATTCATACATCTCATCCGTATTGCTACTTCTCGAGGAACATTTCATCTTTAACATAAATCACACTTATGTGTAGCAAATAAAACATATTACACGCTTTACTGTTAAGTTGAGGACGATATCTAATGCGTCAAACACACACAGATTGAATCTCAATTCACAACCAAATCGAATGGTATCATGCAAGCAAGATGTAATTCCAATCATTTATTGTTACACAGTTATTATTTGCTTAATCATTCGTTATCATTTCATCAAGTATTATCTACATATAAACACAACAGTTTTATCCATTTATTTGACATCATAAGCAACATATCACTTTGAGATTAATAACAAAGATTCTTAATGCATCATAGGTTAAGACATTTCAATATTCAATATTCATTACATATCACTAATGATATTATTCACAGTACTCTGAAACTATTCCTAGTTTAAGGCCAAATTAATAATAACACTCTTAGATTATTCTTAATTTAAGGTAAACAACCAAACTCCTAGACTAATCTAGTCTAAGGCAAAGTAATTACCAGACTCTTAAAATGTAATCAGTTTAAGGAAAATTAATATTGATAACCAAACTCTTAAACAATAATTAGTTTAAAAAATTTTAATATTAACAACAAGACTCTTAAACTATAATTAGTTTAAGACAAATTAATATTGATAACCAGACTCTTAAACTATAAATAATTTAAGACAAAAAACTGAACAGTGGACTACTCACTCTCAAATTGGGTGGTACCCCCAAATGAATATATAATCAAGTTTGATTTAGGGATCTCGTACGTACGTTTTAACCCAAACCACTGGGCATCATATCCACAAGGCCTAACTGGATTGGTCATATGGATTCTATCTTAGAGTTCTTCTAGATAATCGGAATAATCAAATAATCAATGAGAAAATTACTTAAATAGCACTAAAACATAGAGAAATTTACATAAATAGGACTAAAACATAATGACTTTCCCAATATAGGACCATATGTTTTTATTTCCTAATGTAGAACTTTTGGTCATTATGAAGTAGTCATTATTCAAGTAAATGTCCATCATTACTGGACATTATTCCTCAGCTCCCACTAGGTCATTATTAAGTCCTATTTATAGAATAAAAAAGTTTAAGTCCAACATTAGGAAAGTCATTATGTTTTAGTCATATTTAGTGCAAATTTCACTAAAACATAATGACTTTTCCTAAATATCATCACATGTGTTTTTCTTCCCAATATAGTACTTTTAGTCATTATGCATTAGTCATTATTTAAGCAAATATTCGTCATCACTGGGCATTATAGACATTATCAAGTGCTATTTAGAGAATAAAACAATTTAAGTGCTATTTAGAGAAATGACTTAAATTTTAGTGTTATTTAATGCAAACATTTCTACTAAATTTTAAGAAGCCTACCCATTTTATTTTATTACCGTCGGTTTGCCCGACGTACGTATTGTGACACAGCAAAGTATTGCACATGTAAAAATAAGCCCAGCCTGTTTACCCAATTGCAAGGGAGCTCGGAAGACAAAACTCTCATTAAATGGGTTATTTTTATTTTTTGAGATGTAAAAAAATATAATTCACCCCGTCTCATCAAATCTTTCATGTTTGAAAAAAAGCGTATCTTTAAAATGAATAACTTTAAGTTATTTTTTAATTATGACTCATCTATCCTACACTATTATAAAGTAAGGGGAAAATTAGAAAATAATACAAAAATTACTCATTTTAAGGATGTATCTTTTTTCAAAAAAGAAGAGTTTTATGGGACGAAGGGAATACTTTATTTCTTTTCAGTGATCAAATATTTTCTTTCAGCGGCCAATTTTATTTCTTTTTCCTTTTAATAATGAAATACTCTTTGAAAGGTAAACATTCAACTTAACTTGGGATTGGAAAAATATTATTTTATTTTATTTGAAATGACAAGTACTCCCTCCGTCCTATAATGTTCTTCCCGGTTCATTTTACGAGGTTTGACCGACTTTATTTTCAATTCAATTTATTTGATTGTAGGTGTAAATTAAAAATAAAAAATAAAATTTATATATTTAAAAACTACATCAAAAGTTTTACAAAACAAGTGGTGACAAGACTATATTATTTTATCAAATACCTAATGAAAATAGGTAAAGAAAGTTATTAAAGTTTGACCGGGTAAAAAGTGAGTGGGAAGAACACTTTAAAACGAAGGGAATAATATTTAAGGCTAAATAGGTTTTTTAATAGAAACGCGAAGGACTTGTAGGACAAATTAAAAAATAAAGAAAGGAGAAAGAGTTTATTATAAGCTTTAAGCGAGCATTCCATCGGTAGCTAGCTAGTAAGAGTCGAACGAAAAATAAACAAAGAAGTTTCACATGCACTTACAATACGAAGTAAATAGATAGTACTCCATATATAGCTAGAGCAGGTAGCTAGCTAGCTAGTAACAACTACGTACTAACTAATTAACTAATAATAGCATGTAATAATTAAGGAACAGGATAAGACTTGTTGTTGCACATACATTTGTAAGCCATGGGACAAGTCTCGGCTTCCTCGAGGCTGGAGCACACAAAACTAACCATCACTAGTCTACATGGCCGACACGACCCGCATGCGTTCGAGCAGTCCGGCAGCCTCGATCCTGCGCCCCCTACTTCCTCCGTCCTGCTCCTCGTATCGCCTCCGCCCTTCTCCGCCGTCTTTCTCACTTCTATTCCTTTGTCGCCGCCGCCGCCATCCCCCGCCGTGCTCCCTACCTCAACAACTTGGTCTGCATTAAGTGCAAGGTTTTGATGTTAACATATAATTAGGAGATTTTGTCTAAATAGTATTAAAACATAGTGATTTTCTCATTCCTAAAAACCTTTCTTCTTTCTTTTTTCAACCATCCCAAAATTTTTTTCTCATTTCTATTAAAGAGTCATTTTTACGCCTACTTATTCTTATTCTAACTTATCACATCTATATACTATTAATCTACCTATATAATCCTACTTTTACTCATCACATCTAAGAACATTTTTGAAAACTCAATACAAAAATACACTCACCTTAAATCCTTTAAAAAATCACAATATCTCATGTTTTTAGGGACAAATGGATTAATATATATATATATATATATATATATATATATATATATATATATATATATATATATATATATATATATAGGCCGGTTCCTGTGAGAATGCACCTTGTGGAGAGAAATGAGAATGAAATCTAGCCGTTGGATCTGATGTATCGTGCGGCTCAGATTGCATCCTGCGCTCAAATTTTGAGATAGTGCAATTTCAAAGGATTATGATGCATTTCAACGTGATGCATTTTCAAAACATTGTGTTGCACATAATTTTGATGCAATCCTGACCCTTAGATCCCACAATCTAAAGCACCAGATTTATTCTCATTTCTCTTCTAAGATCGCATTCTCACCAGAACCAAAATCTATATATATATATATATATATATATATATATGACTATCTAAAAAGTTTTTTAAAAATCCAATAATTAACTTACTTGCGATGGGCCTGGTACACATCATGACGTGTGGGAGGAGAATAAGGATAACAAGGATGAGAAGAGAAGCACCACCGCCCTTCATGGCATGCACTAGCTAGCTTCTTTATACCCACTTAATTATTATTATTATTATTATTATTCTTTTACGGTTTTGTGTATATATATTGTATTTATATATATAATATATTAATGGTTGTGAATATATGATATACAAGAAAAAGAAGCTATATATATAAGTAGGTGGGGGTTGAAGATATAATTAAAAGCTTACGAAAATAAGAGAAATTAAAGTGGAGATCATATGTGTAAGAGGAGAAATATACATATGAAGATATATATATAATATTGAAGAACTTCACAAGCAACAGGAAATGAAGATAAGATAGTAAGATCACATGAAAGAGGGGTGAGCCTCACAGGGGTACGTAAGCAGTAATAATTAATTTAAAAATATTAATTATGTGTTATTGTAATGATAGATCATCATGCCATGCATCATGCATATATGCATGCATTATATCTCACTAATATAATTATTATTCTCTCTTCAGATCAAGTCACGTAAATTTGGATGCTGTGAAGAAATGGGAAAGAAATACGAGTAAAAAACATGAAGAAATTTAGTGAGGGCGACGATTAAGATGTAGAGCTTCTTTCCGTGAGTTTGCATTATATATGGTTGTTTTTTCCTTCTTTTTTTTAATGTTTTGTGGCGGCGGGGAAAGGCACACATTTGATATATGGCTTTAAATGCCATTAATGACATTAATTTTACCCTATTTTACTTCCTCTTTTTTTATTCTTTTGGTCTTTTACTATCTTCACTTAATATTTTAATCATTTCTCGAAAAATTTCTCTCCTTTTTTCCATCTGTCCCAAAAAATCTCATTTCTATTAAAAAGTTCTCATTTATATATAAATATATATATATATATATATATATTTATATGTATGTATGTATATATATATATAAATATATATATAAATATATAAATATATATATAAATATATATATATATATATATATAAATATATATATATATAAATATAAATATATATACATATATATATATATATATTTATATATATATATATATATATAAATATATATATATATATTTATATGTATGTATGTATGTATATATATATATATATATATATACACACACACACACACACACACATATATATATATATGAATATCTAACAAGGACTACAACATGAATTTTACCCCAAAATAACACATATATATCTCATCATATGTCTAATGAATTAGGAAATAAAACATAGAAGCAATTATTATCTTAGTTGGGTAGTATAAGTTATTTGTTTTATTCTTTTCTAAGTAGATTTATTTATATATACTACTCCCTCTGGTCCTGAAAACCTTTCTTGTTTTGACTTTTTTTGGTCAAACAGTGACACACTTTGACCATAAATTGTGAGAAAAATTTATTTAATTGAAATATAACTTCAATATATTTGGACGCATCTTAAGATATAGTTTTGATATATCAAATATTTATATCATTTATTTATTTAGATTATGTTTAATTTATGCGTAAAGAGTGTCACCATTTGATTTAAAAAATCAAAACAAGGAAGATTTTTAGGACGGGTGGAAGTATCTATATAAGGTGTGTTTTATTTATAGAAATATTTGCACTAAATAACACTAAAAATTAAGTCATTTTCCTAAATAGCACTTAAATTGTTTTATTCCCTAAATAGCACTTAATAATGTCCATAATGTCCACTAATGACAAATATTTACTTGAATAATGACTAATGGATAATGACTAAAAGTGCTACATTGAGAAAAAATACATGCTATTTAAGTAAAGTCATTATGGTTTTGTGTTATTTAAGTAATGCATGTCAGAAAATCAACCAAATGACTGAAATTTTGATCCCTTTTCATTGAAAGCTTCTCTCCTCTAATAAGGTATGGTTCTAACATCACGTAGCTCTTAACCACCAAACAAAACAAAACTCCCATGCATGATAATCATCCAAACATATCATCCCTTGCATGCATGCACATGCCGCTTGATCAGCCTGCCCGCCCGCCGTACCAGAAACAAATTGGTTAATAAGCGACCGCCATGCTACCGCCGCCTCACCGTCGCAACGTTGTCCCTAGATACCAACCCAGGAAATCGTCGAGTCGTTGTTGCTGCAAATGCATATGCTTATGTTGTTGCCTCCTTTTCATCATCGTCCTCGCCCTAGGCGGCATGGCATTCTACATTTACGCCGTATACAAGCCCAAAATTCCATCCTACCGCGTCAACGGCCTTGAGGTTAAGAAATTCGACGTTCAATGGGATTTTAGCCTCAAGACTGTTTTTACGGTCGCGGTCACGGCGGACAACCCCAACACCAACATTGGGTTCAAATACGGCAAGGACAGTTCTGTCATTGTCACCTACACCGACTCTGTTCTCTGCTCCGGGAAGCTTCCTAGCTTCCATCAAGGAGCAGAGAATGTGACAGAGATGAAGATTCAACTGGACGGGGTTAGCAAATTCGGGTCGGGTCTTCAAGAGGCTTTTCAAGAGAGTAAAGATACTGGGAAAATACCTTTACTCGTGAAGGTTAAGGCACCAGTAAAGGTGGTCATAGGGAGCTTGTCCTTGAGGGAAGCCATTGTTTATGTCAATTGCTCCCTCGTGGTCGACAAGCTCCAACCAGGGAAGAAAGTTGGCATTGTTAAGTCGAACTACTCCTTTGATGTTTCCTTTTGATATGATGTGGGGGATCATTGAATTTACTAGATTCATACATATGTGTTGCATTCAAAGAAATTCAATCCAAAACAAAATTTGAGTACATGGAGTATAAGTGAATGATTTAAATTGAGATTAACATAAAATCAAATATTTTAATGCATCTCAAAATTTAAAAGCAAAAAAATTATACAATATTAATGGGATTTAGCCCAACAACTATTGCGTATAAAGAACAAAAGGATAATAAGAATAGTCTTAATTAGAGAAAATTAGGACTCTCGTGTATTATATTTATATAAGCTATATTTAGTCTGCTTAACAAAGGAGAGTTTGCCCCTATTTATAGTCTATTCCTACCGTATACAAGGCATGTAATATTTCATGCGCTACATTATCGGCAATTCACCAGTCATGCATCAATCGTGGCGGGGAATCAATCATCAACTCCCCTCAATCCCATGATTTGGGGAATCACACCTAATTCTGGTATCGGGCCAGACCCGACACTCCGGGTCCACCTTCGGGCCTTGACTCTATACTCTACAATTGAACTTACATCCCTGTTGGATCGTGGAATCGTAATGAGGTTGTCCCTATCTGATTACCGGGCCCGGATATCCATCAAATATATTGTTTAAACGTTTACAAATTATGAATTTTTTTATAAACAACATTTGATGTAGAGTGCACTCGTTTTCCATTATCACAAATAAAAAAATAAACCATTATAATTTGTAACTCTTGAAACGGCAACATACTATTAATAATCATAACTAAATATAGGGTTCTTTAGAAGAGGGACTACGTAAGAGAGAGAGAGTGCTAGAGAGATTGGCCTTGACTTTTGTTTATGATTATAGCATGTGAAGTTATTATGGGCAAAAAACTATCGCCTTTCAAATTTGAAATGAGTTCTTGGATCTCTAAGATTATTATAAAGAGAATGTGAAAATCAAGTATATACTTATTGCTCTCTCTGTGTGTGTTTCTATAATACTCCGTATTATGTTTATGATGCAAGTGTAGAAGATGACAGATTGACAGTCTCAAAATAGCAAATTACTATGGGTCGTCGTCACGACGGACAACCCCAACCCCAATATTGGGTTCAAATACAACAAGGACAGCTCTATCATCGTCACCTACACCGACTCTGTTCTTTACTTCGGGAAGCTTCCTAACTCCCACCAGGGAGCAGAGATCAATGTGACGGATGTGAAGATTCAATTGCACGGGGTTAGCAAATTCAGGTCAAGTCTCCAAGAGGCTTTTCAAGAGAGTGAAGATACTGGGGAGATACCTCTACCATACCTCTACTCGTATAAATAGAAAATGTTGAGTTTACCATTTTCATACCCGTGCGTTACACTAGATGAGATTCATTCCAAAATAAAAATTGCAAAATAAAACTAATTGAGTTATTAATATTTGAGTACAAATAAATATGGAGTATAAGTGATTGATTTAAATTGAGATTCCATTCTCATCGCAAATAAAAAATTTTAAACCACTAAAATATGTAACTCTTGAAGCTGCAACATATAATTAATGATCATGAATTAATATAGGGTTACGTTCTTAGGAAGAGCATATATGCGAAAAACTGATTGGCCTTGACTTTTGTTTATAGTTATAGCGGGTGTATGGAATTATTACGGGGAACTATATCGCCTTACAAATTTGAAATTAATCTTTGATCTACAAGATTATAGTATGGGGAATATGAATGAAATGATAATTACAATATTAGAATTACAATAGAGTTTTAACTAAACCAAATTAATGGGATACATATATTAAAAGACATTTATAAGAGAGATAGTATATAAAATAATTAATAGTACTCTGTATCTGTTTATTACTCCCTCTCTAACACCCAAATCCGTCCAGGTCTGCAGCCCCTTTCGGACTAAAGTATAAACTTGGTAATCGTAAAATATAAAATATTTCAAACACTTTTATTTATCATAAATAATTTTCATAATATAAACAGTAATAATAATATGGAGTGTTCAATATTACGGAAGCATAATAAAAGATGTCACGTGACAATCATAACTAATTATTTTATGTCTTTTGAAATCATAATTCAAATCGTCACATCCACCCCGACAATCTCGCCCCATCTGCCGTCAGGATCACGTCACATCATTCTTTCGATTTTCCTCCGTGCTGCAAATAAAACATACTACACGCTCAGCGGTGAAGCTGGGTAAGGATATGTAATGCATCGAACATCCAAATAAATTGAATCTCAATTCATGATCAAATCATTTGATATCATGCACATAATATTTCGTTCAAATATTCAATATTCAATATTCAACATTTATAGTGTCAACAATACTTTTAAACTATTTTTAGTCTAAGGCCAAATTCTTAATGTTCACCAACTCTTAAACTAATTCTAGTTTAAGGTACTTCTAACCAACTCTTAAACTATATTCTAGTTTAAAGTACTACTAACCAACTCTTAAGCTCATCTAGTTTAAGGTACAATTTTCAAAAAGGTTTTTCAACTCTTAAACTAGTCTAAGCTTAAGGTACACAATAAATCGAACAACGGACTCCTCACCACCGGGTTGGGTGGTATCCCCAAACGAGTGATCCTCTAGTTTGGTTTACGGATCTCGTATGCATGTTTTTACCCAGGCCACCGAATATACATATTTATGCCCGTAAACCCCATTTTAATCTGAGGTCTATCTTAGAGGTCTTCTAGATAGCCTTAACAATACACATCATTCTCTTATTCATTAATCTATTCATTTGAATCATAATTCAATAATTCATAATCATGATTTTAATCAGGATATTCATCGAGGTTTAACAATGATAAACAACCAATAGTATTCATCATAATATTCAATAACAATTAGCGGCTTAGCGTTGAGTGTTAACATCATAGCTTACCGTCATGCATCACACAAGATTTTTGGATTTATCAAAACATCATATTTATTTCCAGAAATCATTTTCATATTGATCTTAATTGAAGGATATTATTATCATCATCGTCTTCATTATTACGGAGTATTATAATTACAACTATTATGTTCATAATTATAGTTTATAAACTATTTCATTTTTTTTCATGTCACTAGTTTTACGATTCACACTCTTCTAAATTAATATGAGAAAAACATTTTTAAATTTTTTATAAAAAATTTTGAAAGTCAAATTATTTTAAAGAACAACATTAAGCTGTGAGTAAAACATAAAAATGTACCAAATGTGAGTTCTATATTTTTATTCCCAAAATAAGAGTTAAAATGCAAATACAATGTCAATCATTAAAGAAAAAAAGGGAGAAATACCAAAGTAGGACTAAAATGTTGAAAATATACCAAAAATAGGAGTTCCATGTTTTTATTCCCGAAATAAGACTTAAAATACATTTGCATTACCAAACTTGGTCACGTACATTACCAAAAAGTAAAGTAATGTGCACCTGTACAGTGTCACATTACAACCACATTACCATAGTGTGAAGTCCTATTTCGGGAAAAAAAACATGAAAGTATTTTGGTATTTTTCTCTATGTTTTAGTCCTACTTAAGGTGATTTCTGATGAAAAAATAGATTTGATCACATTATGTGATAGATCTGATATTTAAAATAAAATCTTATAATATATAAAGCGTAATTACAAATATATTTTTTATAATAAATACAGCATTATAAATTGAGATGCAACGTAATCACTAAAACTTTTTAAAATTTAACATTTCAATTTTTATGCTAACTTTATATTCTAATTACATTTTTTTTGTGAAAGTAAAATTGTGTGTATGAAAAATGACAATATTTTTTATATCTTAAAGACATTGATTAAGATAACGTACGTGATTATGGATACAATAATAATAATAATAATAATAACAACAATTAGAATAAGAATAATATAAAACATAAACTTAATTAAATTTTTTATAGTTTTTTTTAGATTTTCCAATCTTTTCCAATTTTTCCACTTCCATCTAATTTCTTCCAATTCCTTCCAGTTTTTCTAGTTTTTTCTAGTCTCTTCCAGTTTTTTCTAGTTTCTTCCATTTTATTCAAGTTTTTTCCAGTTTCTTCTAGTTTTTCCCAACATCCAACTTTGTTCCAGTCCTAAAGAACATGCCCTAAGTTACAAATTAAAGAAAATGCCGGGGAGAAGAATAATTGAATTTTAATTTTTTAAAATTAAAAATTTTAATCATAGAGACTTAGGATAACTAATTTAAGATTTCACTTTTTAATAAGTGAAATTTGCACTAAATAGGACTAAAACATAACGACTTTCGTAATGTAGGACTTAAACTTTTTTATTCCCTAAATAGGACTTAATAATGACCTCGTTGGAGGAATAATGTCCAGTAATGATGGACATTTACTTGAATAATGACTACTTGATAATGACCAAAAGTCCTACATTGAGAAATAAAAACATATGGTCCTATATTGGAAAAGTCATTATGTTTTAGTCCTATTTAGGTAAATTACTCTTTTAATAATGCAGAAGAGACTAATAAATTTTTATAATCATTGCTGGGGTAGTTGGAATCATTTTTGTTGCTAATTTTAATAAATATGAAGGAGAAGTATCATACTTTTTAATCATAGAGTTATAAGGTCGGTAATCTAGATTTTTAAATTAATGTGAGGGAAAAGAATCATTAGATCACTGATACTTTTTGTATTATTATTTTTTAAAATTTACACAGGAGAAGAATTATAAATTTGTAGATGCACTAGACCTAGATTATTTATATTTGACGTTTAAATAATTTGCCACGTAAAAATCAAGTCATTTTGAAAATACTCAATGTAGAGTCGTAAACAATATCCTTGAACCCCGTGCGCCGCATGGGTAAAAATCTTAGTCTTAAATTATTGTCGAGCAATATTGTAATGGGTGTTGTTATATCCATTCTTTTTTTTGAACGCTATTGACTCTATATCCTTGAACCCCGTGCGCCGCATGGGTAAAAATCTTAGTCTTAAATTATTGTCGAGCAATATTGTAATGGGTGTTGTTATATCCACTCTTTTTTTTTGAACGCTATTGACTCTATTACAAGGTAGTATCTGTTCATACTATTCTCAAGCTAATGACGCACAAAGAGCCAATGCTGCTGCCTTCGCTGGGGCTCGAACCTGAGTGAACTTCCTCATGAATCCTGGGGAGTGGGCTTGCTACCACTCAAGCCAGGGGAGAAGTTCAATCCACTCTTATTTTAGCTATTTTAATTCATTTTATACTCCGTATTGAGTGGATAATTTTATCCCTAAAATTGGTCTTGCATTAAAATTCTCTTTCTTGTGTTTTTGAAGTTAAAAGATTCAATTTAACATTAATGAAATGAATATAGCTAAGATGATGGCAGATATAGCAACAACTTATTGTAATTTGGAATGTTTTTAAAACGTTCAAATGTAGAATCAAGAAACAAAATGACTACTCCCTCTGTCTCATGGTAAAAGACACACTAATGTCTTGGGAGAAAGGAAGCTTCCGTCTCATTCTATGTTTTTATTGATCATTTGATGAAATAAAATACTAATATCATCTTTTATTTTAGGGAAAAATCACACACATATTCCAAGAAATTTGTGATTTTACGTTAATATTTCAAAATTCAATACTTTACTACTCTCATAAATTGCTCAATTTCATACCAATACTCTGGGCTGCCAACAATGCAGAATACTTTACATTTTCAATGGAGACTATAAATTACGGGTTGATAAAAAATAAAGAAAAATAATGTTTCGGACAAAATAAAGAATTTTGAAGCAGATATTTCATAATCAAATTAATATTCGTTGGAAAGATTTCTAAAATATAAATTCAGCACTATATCAAATTTAAAAGCCACCAATTTTTTTATCTGAAACACTATTCATAATTTCTCATTTCTGTAGTTTGATAGATTTTAGGGAGAACTCCATAGATAGGAGTAAAGAACTATGAAAATACCAAAATAGGAGTCATAAGTATTTTAAGACTAATTTAGAAGTTAACACTATTATTGTTACACTATAACACCCACCACATTCTCAAATTGTAACTGCCACACTACCACCATTATACTGTCATTCGTCGTCGACGGGCCCTGGAGTGTCGCTGCGGATCACCGACCATTGACCGACTACACTGACATATTACACTGTGATCACTTTTCTATCACACTGTCAACGTGTATTTTTACACAACATTGTCATTATACTCTTATTTTAATTTTAAAAAAAATTCTTATTTTGGTATTTTTATACTTTTTTTTACTGGTGTTAAAGGGGATTTTTTAGACTCTACTAGCTGGACTTCTTCTGGTCAGGACCGTTCCTCATGCGATGGCTCTCTCGTTAGCTCAATCGACCTTCTTCATCTCTACTAAGCCCTCAGCGTTCCTTTGCAGAAATGGCGGAATCCTTAAGCGATGCAATATTCTCGCTCATTTCTCTACATCTTTGTCCTTATCCTCCTACCCTGCCGCTGCTATGCCTGCACAGAACAGAGCCGCCTTCCACCGCGAGAAGTGGAGGGCACCCGTTGCATCAGCCCTTGATCTTGGCGGCCTCAAGATTTCCAGAGATGGTAAGGTGCAAAATGAATTCATTGCGGTGAAATTATTCGTTGTATTTCAATTTGAATTTAGGGTCTCTCGTGGTAGCATTTTTTTTGAAGTGCTTGTTTTAGGTATTCATTATATTATGTGTTACTGTTCTTGGTGCAACTTTATTTCGTATAATATGTTTGTAGGATTAAATGTGCCCCTCTTCTAGGATGTTACTCTTGTTTTTATCCACAGGCTTTTCACAATTTTACAGTTATTCTTACAATTTTTTGGTATTTTTGCTCAATTTTATTTTATTGATATTTTTTATGTCTCTATGCAATCAAATAGAGTTCAGAACACACTGCATACGTAATTTTGTTGTTGATCACATATTTGATTCAATATGCAGAGATAGTGAGAGATGACCCTACAAACAACATCCCAGATACCATATTCTCAAAGCTGGGAATGCAGCTCCATAGGAAGAATCAACATCCACTTGGTATCCTGAAAAATGCAATCTATGATTACTTTGACACTAAGCATCTAAACAAATTTGACAAGTTCGATGATTTGTGCCCTATCGTTTCTATTAAACAGGTAATGCTATCAGATTTTCCATTTGATTTTATTCTTCTCTTCTAATTTATTTTCTGTCAAATTCTAAAAGTACTGGGTAATGCTTTCAATCCTGTTGATTTTGATGACCTTGTTTTCTTCGTTGTTGGTTGTCATATGTGTTTACAACAACAACAACAACCCAGTTGAATCCCACTACAATAGGGTCTGGGGAAGGTGTGTGTACGCAGACCTTGCCCCTACTCGGAAGTAGGGAGGCTGTTTCCAAGAGACCCCTGGCTCCAACTGCACAAAAAAAATATGATAAGAATCACATATTTGTTTAATTTTTATAATTTAAATTCATAAAAATTCAAATTGGGGGTTTCTTACTCTTCTTTCTGAGCAATACCAAGATTTCAATTTTTTTTCACAACAATAATGGAGGATGAAGAGTTATCAGTAGTCATTTTCTTAAACACTATGATATATTAATCACTCATATGCAAATCTTTTGTTTCCTAAAATATGCCATCTCCTCCAGCTACCACATATCACTCTCCATTGTATTGTGTAAAGTCAAAGAAATATTTTTTGTTTGGCATCCTACAGCTCTTTATAACTTATTAGTAACTGTAGGAGTTTCTGCAATGTAAATGTGTAGTGTGTGTGTGTGTACATATATATATATATATATATATATATATATATATATATATAGACACACACACACTCCCTCCGTCCAACAATAATGTTCTCGTTGCACGTTACGATGTTTGGCTAAAGTTATTTTCAAATCATTTTATATGAAAAATCGTATGGAATTAAAAAATAAAAATTACATATTTAAAAACTACATGAAAAGATCTACACAACTAGAGGTGACATGACAATATTATTTTATCAAATGGGCAACGAAAATACGCCAACAAAGTGAATAAAGTTTGACCCTCTGAATAGTGAACAAGAACATTATTGTTGGATGAAGGGAGTGTGTGTGTGTGTATGTGTGTGTGTGTTATATGTGAAGCGAATTGATGCAAATTCTAGTCTAGGCTTAAAGAGTTCTTGAGCTAGATGCCTAGATAATCAGCTGCCATGTTCTCCTCTCTATGCATATGGGTGGTCATAATGTGGTGTGTTACATAGGAAACTTTAGCTTTCCCCTGCCTCAAGATTGTTCCAAGCATGAATGGGTGTAACCAGAGCTTTGACAAATTTACTCTTCTCATTTCTGAGTATTCCATCCCCTCGAGCACTGCCTTGTTTATATGATGCATCTGCATTGAGTTTAAACCACCCCTTATCCGGAGGCTTCCACTTGATTGTTAGGATGGAGGTGTTGAGGATGAAATGGATTTTTGGAACCAAGCCTGCAGCTATTAGCTCTAAAGTATTTTTTTTTAATCTCTTGAGCTCCTCTTCTTAATAGTTGATGCCCAGGCATATGTAAATCTACTAATAGAATCAATGATTTCCGTGATGTTGAAAGCTTCCCCCTGGTGTTTGAGATTATCGAACCCCTTTCATATGTGCCATGCTATAAAACCAGGCATAATGGATAGTGAGCTCCCATAGATGCTTTTCTGTGATTATCGAACCCCTTTCATATGTGCCATGCTAAAGTATTCTTCTTCTCTTGAGCTCTTCTTCTTCCCTCTGGTGTTTGTGGTTATCGAACCCCTTATCCGGAGGCTTCCATTTGATCATTAGGGTGGACCCATGGAGGTGTCATGGAGTTTAGGAATCAAGCCTGCAGCTATTAGCTCTTAAGTATTTTTATCTCTTGAGCTCCTCTTCTCAACAGTTGTTGCCCAAGCATAAGTGAATCTACTAATAGAATCAATGATTTTTATGATTTTCTGTGAGGATTTGAGCCATCAAGACATGGTTATCCTCCAGCAGTGTTTTACTCCCATGATAGCCCCAAAATGAGCCCATATTTTGTTCACAGCTGCGCACTCCAGTAGGATATGTTTGCCAGTTCCATCTTCCCTTGTGACAAAAAAGACAGCTTGTATGAGGCATAGGGCCAAACCTGGATAGATTCTCTGGTAGGGGCAAGGCCTTGGAGAATAGTTTCCTTAAAATATTCCGACTTTGGGTACTTGGTGTTTACCCAGATATATTGGTTTGCTTTGATGATCATTCCAGCCTCTTCTGATGCAGCATAGGCACTCCCTAAGGCGAGTGACCTCTTCTCATTCAGCTTCCAGTAGTCTGCCTGAGTTGTCAATACTGCAACATTTACTAGCAGCTTCATTTATTTTAAGTTTTTAACAATCCTTTTCCCATATTGGTGAGTCTTGTAGAGTTACCATCATGATGTTATTTCTTGAGTATTTAGCCCTCATTAGCTTTGTCCATATGTTTCCTTTGTTGTGGTAATCCCACCAAAGCTTTAGGTTGAAAGCTTTTTGTAGTTGATTCAGATTATTTACTCCCAGTACTCCCACTTTTGTTTTGCATTTTGATGACCATATTTTCCAATGGTATTTGTCCTTTCCCCAAAAGAAGTTGGACATCCTTAACTCCATAGCCTTGATGATGCTCTTGGGTAGTGTATCAACTATCTTATGGTAGTTTGGGATGGTAGCAAGAGTGTGTTGAAGGGGTATGAGTCTTCCTATTGGGCTTAGAGGGTGCTTGGGAGTGTGTTTGAAAATAGCTTTTGAGCTTCTACATCCTTGAAATGCAATTTTAAGTGTTTTCCAATCAGCTTTAGATTTAGATTATGGATTGTGATTTCAAAAGTGTAAATTGTGCTCTAGAAGTGATTTTCACTAAAGCTCGGAGTAACTACTTTCTACTTTTGATTTAGCACATCTGCTTTTTCAATACTCACCGCGCTCACAAGCACCCTCTTAGACAAGATCTTTTGGTTGTGTCTTGGCCTGTTGATGCCTTTATGAATGTTGCAACCTAAATATAGAAAAGAAAGGCTTTAGCACTTTCATTTTAGTGATGCAATTCATCTGTTGCATTTTCAGGGTAGAAGTTTTCTGTGGAATGATATATATATACACACACACACACTACAACAACAACAACAACCCAGTTAAATCCCACAAGAGTAGGGTCTGGGGAGGGTGTGTGTACGCAGAACCTTGCCCCTACTCGAAAGTAGAGAGACTGTTTCCAAAGAGACCCCCGGCTCAACATCGAAAGTTGCAGTGTTTGACTAATTGCTACTTCATTAATTAAAGAAGCGCAGATAGTTTAGAGATCCATTTTGATTTATTCCATCACACCCCAAAGCCAAAAATGGTGAAATTTTGACTCCATCGGAGATGATGGAAAAATATACACACACACACTAAATTTTTAAAAAATTTATATATATATATATATATATATATATATATATATATATATAGGGGCCGATTCTCGTGAGAATGCACCTTGTGCAGAGAAATGAGAATAAAATCTAGCCGTTGGATCTGATGCATCGTGCGGCTCAGATTGCATCATGCGCTCAGATTTTGAGATAGTGCATTTTCAAAGAATTTTGGTGCATTTCGACGTGATGCATTTTCAAACTATTATGGTGCATCTAATTTTGATGCAATCCTGACCCTTAAATCTCACAATCTAAAGCACCAAATTCATTCTCATTTCTCTCCTAAGATCGCATTCTCACCAGAACCAAAATCTATACACACACACACACAAACATACATACATACATACATACATACATATATACACACACAAACACATATGTGTATACACAACTATAGTTGGGCTGCTTTAAAGTTAAGACTAGACTAGAAAGACCATTGTTTCTGATGTAAGTGCTAGTCCTTTGAGTCATGTATTTTTTTGGCTACATGACTACAAGGTCTTTTAAAAGAGTGTCAGGTCATTGCACTTGCAGTTCCATTTGTAAAATTCTATTCTGATTTTGTTTTTGTTAGACTACAAGGTCTTGGGTACATGGTGGAATTCATTGCTACTTCATATATTTAAGTACATTTCTGTTTTTTGAACTAATCTGTGGCTACATTCTAGTGCAATCTCTCTCTCTCTCTCTCTCTCTCTCTCTCTCGGATAGATGATGTTTGATGTGCATTTTAAAACTGTGGATACTATTGCAGAACTTTGATGATGTATTGGTACCTGCCGATCATGTTAGCAGGAGTTACAATGATACATATTATGTGGACTCTGAAACTGTTTTAAGGTGCCACACAAGTGCGCATCAAGTGGATTTATTGAGTAAGGGTCATACTCATTTCCTTGTGACGGGAGATGTTTATCGCAGGGACTCCATTGACTCAACTCATTACCCAGTATTCCACCAGGTATTTGGGTACCTACCTCACTTATTTTGGGTTTTCTCTCTTTTTGTTGAATATATGTGCCCTAGCAGCCAATCATTTGTTATTTTATCTGTACTTTTATCATGAATAAAGGCCCTAAAGATTATTTATACATCTCGTGTATCTAAACATAGTAGAGGGGAAAAAAAGAAAACATTTTCCTCTAAACAAACAGAGAAATTGGTTGTTTTGTTGTATGAAATAAAAGATCACCTTGGAGAGTATTCTCGTTAAATTGTTGTACACTCTTTTTAACCGAAAAATACTATATTATCAACACCAACAAGAGCAGTTTACAAGCACTACACTCCGAACTGCAGGCACAAATGCAGCCCCAACAAGAACTACTCTAATAACACATTACTAATACTCACTTTTTGAAACAAAAATATGTAAACATGGTATTTGACGGTGGCTATGGTCTCATCAACTGCAATAATTTTATCGTGTACTCTCCCATTTTGTGCTTTCCAAATATAGCCCAAGCAGAAATAACAACCTCCCTTTTCTTCCTAGGTTTCCTCCCAACCCCTTTGACATCTGACTCTGCAATATGCACTTGCATTCAGGCAAATATAGCAGAATTTATCTTTCCAGCTTAGGGGGGATTTGCAGAATAAATGCTGTAAGTGTTCCTCTTCTTTTCTGCATAAAGGACACACCACATCAATGTTTAAGAACTTGAAAGCCTTACTCTTGTCTGAAGTCTCCCATTCATAATAAGCCAAAAATTAAACTGACAGTTGGGCATAGTAAGTCTACATCAAACCCATTTGACCCGCTTAGGAGTCTCCTTATTGCCAATCATCCAATAGTAGCCCTTCTGTGTTTCATAATATCCACTGAGAGGCATATTAACAAATGCATTCCTCACTTTTATCATCTGTTTCCAGTTACAGCAGCTATTAGGTTTGGGCATATAATCAAACACAGGTTTTTTACACTTTTGTTTGAAAGGAGATATTGTGTTAAAATAACTTAATTATTGTCTATATTTTTCATTTATTTTAATAGACTAATATGTATATATAGTGCTCATTTTTACTTTATTTTATATATTAAAAAATATTACTACTTCTGCCCATGAGTATTTGTCCAGTTTTGACTTTTTGCAGTAAACCAATTTCAACCGTTGACCTCGAACTAAATTAAAATTATGCGGTATGTTAATGAGATAAAATTCTGAAAATATTTTATACAATAAATCTAATAAACTTATTTTTGTATCAATATCTAATATCAATTTTATTTAATTAGTGGCCAAAGTTTGTTAATTTTGACTAAAAAAAGTCAAAACTGGACAAATACTCAGAGACGGAGGTAGTAATATATTTCACCATATTGGAGCCGCTTGGACAAAGTGGAATCCAATAGGATATCAACAAACCTGGATAGTGGTGAGACCGACTACGTTGTATAGAGCAGAGTGATGGGTGGTGAAGAATATGCACGCTCGAAAGCTACAAGTGGAAAAGATGAGGATGTTGAGGTGGATGTGTAGTCATACGAGAATGCATAAGACGCAGATGAGGTTATTTGGGGGAGAGAGGCAATGGTCTCTATGGAAGATAAGCCTCAGGAATTAAGATTGTTTGGGCACGTACTGAGGAGTACTGATGCCACACTGAGGAGGTGTGAGAGGATTGCCATAGAAGGCGTAAGGAATAATAGAGGAAGACCTAACAAGACTTGGAAGGAGTTGATTAGAGTCATTAGACATGACTTACGAATTCAGGATCTTATCAAGGATATGGACTTTAGATAAGAGCATCCCAAGGTTTGGAATTATAGTGGTAGGGTATACCTTTGGACATTAATCTGTAGTTTCGGCATGTATGCTTGTTTTTGTTTGTTTTCTTGCTTTACTCATGCTACTTTCCTTTACTGTTGTACTCCTGTGTTTTGCATTGGGGTGAAACAACCTCTCTACTTTCTGGTAAGGGAAAGGTCTTCATATACATATCCTCCCTAGACTTGTTATATGGGACTTTACTGGTCTGTTATTGCATTAATAATTAATATACTACCTCTGGCCCAGTGTATTTGTCCGGTTTGGCTCGAAGTCAAACCGAACAAACTTTAAGCTTTAATTACTCTCAATTTATATTTCATATAAGTACAATAAAATAAAATTTTGGAAGTTTTCAACAAGATAAATTTAATAAAATCATTTATTCATTTATATACATTACAATTTTTGTTTAATTGAAGCTCAAAGTTTATGTTGATTGACTCAAAAAAGTCAAACTAGACAAGTACACTGGTACGGAGGGAGTATTTTTCTTTTCCTTCCACTTTTCTTTTCATTTCCTTTCAAACCAAACATGAAAATTTGTTTTCCTTCTCATTTTCTTTTCATTTCCCTTTCAAATTCCTTGAACCAAACATAGTGTTAGTGTTTCGTTTAATAACTACTAAACTCAATGCTTCTTTAACTATGTAAAAATATGAGTTATTGAACAGAGCACTAAACGATATTCAATTGTTGTATATCTATTTTAGGATCATCTACGTGACTACGTGTTAATTTTACAATCCTACGTTGGATTTTACATGAACACATCCCATATGAAAGTTATGGAGTGGTGTCAAATGGTGTGAAATAAAAATGGTGTCAAATATCCTACCTCTTATTTATTTATTTATTTATTTTTTTATTCATTAATTTATTGTCTCTTTTACAAAATTGCTTTCTTTTATTTTACTGACGTTTTCCACCCAACCTATGCAGATGGAAGGGGTACGGGTCTTTTCTCCGAAGGATTGGGAGGGATCATGCACTGATGCCACATCTTATGCTGCTGCCGATCTAAAGATATGTCTTGAGGGTTTGGCACGACATTTGTTCGGTATGTCGTATTTCGAAGTTCGAACTGTATAGAAGTAAATTGGATTTGGATGCTCGTTTGGAGTTGATGTCAATGCATTTTATTATAGTAAAAAAAAGAAGGATTTGTGGTTAAAGTTAAAACTTTTTGCGAGTAATTCTAATGAGATTCCAATAGTTCCAACTGCATTTGTAGGATGTTTTTTTCTTTATCTTCACTCAAAGTGGCATAATAGACTTCCTTGCTTTGTACTTGGAAGTTTTGGACACTAAATGTAGCAATGAATCAAGGGTCTAACGCAAACAACCTCTCGGTTGGGATTGTATTGGGTTTGCCATTGTTGTCTACTCATTATGGAGCCGGTGCCCAACTGCCCGGTATCGTTGAGAATTGTGTGAGTCTGGTTTTAAACAATGCAAACTATTTCCATGTTTTCATTTATTCAGTGTGTTCCCTTTGTTCTTAATATTTTGCACGGTTTGACACACACATCGATTAAGAGTGAAAGTAAAATATAGTGTAAAGTTATTCAATGAGGAAAGAGAAATATGTTGTATTGATTTAAAAGTAAAGGAAAGGGTTGATAGAAAAGTTGATGTGAAAAGGACTAAGAGAGAGTATTTCCATAAAAGTGTGCAAAGTAATTTGGAACATCCGAAAAAGGAAAGTATGCAAAGTAATGAGAAACAAAGGGAGTGATATTTAGTGCTTATGTGTATTTTTTCTTTTCTTTGACCTTTGCTAATTTCATCGAAACAATGATCATTGGTCTTCTTTCTGAACACTTTCCTGCTCTTCTTTTGCTTTAGGCTTATATGGTTTGCAATTTTTTTCTTCTAAATTTTTGCTAACTGTCAGTTTCTTCACACTTCCTCTTACTAGCAGTATGTTTTAAAACATTCTTCAGGTGCTGTGGAAATGCGGTGGGTGGACACATATTTTCCCTTTACCAATCCATCATTTGAATTGGAGATATATTTTCAGGTATTCTTTTGAATTTTGCGTCTTATAATGATTATTAGAGCATATCATTTTCCAATAAGTTAGTAACATTGCTCTTTACATCATGGTATCTGTAGTATGACATTTAACCTTTTACTAAGCTGGTATCATTTTCCAATGAACACAGAGTAAACAACCTCTCTACCTATTTAAGATAGGGGTAATTTTTGCATACACCCCCAGACCCCACTCATGGGACTTTACTGGGTAGGTTGTAGATTTGTTGAATTTTATGAGGCTGCATAAGAGGTTCCTTTCCCACTTGTTTACTGCCAGATCATGACCCATATGTACAGAATGAAAAATAATCTGGAACACCTTCATACACATTTTTTCAGCCTAGTCATGCAAATATAATTACCTAGTCAAATCCCTTCCCACCTAAGCATAGTTACATCTAATTCCATAGGTTTGGGCTAGATTCAGTGTAGTCTTAGTGGCAGTAAGATTATTGAGATTACCAGTGTGGCCTAGAGCTGCACCAGTAGAGCAGAGCACTACCATATCATGTAAACACGTGAAGGTTGTCATAGTAAAACAAAGGGAATGCGTAGTAGTAAATCCCGATTGCTACAAAAACTGTTTCCATCAAGTGTTTTTACTCCTGCTTTATGGTTGTAAAAGAGTACAGAACGTATATTGTGAACAAAAATAGGCAGCATGAATGTTCTAACATTTTAATTTTTCGATAAAGTAAGAAACTTCCTTGTAAGGTTAAGCTCCTTGATATTCAAAATAATTTAGGTCATCTTTATGAATATTTCAATGTTAAATATTTAGAATTTGAAGAGTTTCAATGCGATATTGTTATTGAATTATTTACAGGAGAAGTGGATGGAAGTATTGGGTTGTGGGGTAACAGAGCAAGAAATACTGAAAAGAAGTGGGAGAATGGATGATGTTGCTTGGGCTTTTGGACTTGGACTGGAACGATTGGCAATGGTTCTGTTCGATATTCCAGATATTCGTCTTTTCTGGTCTACTGATGAGCGTTTTACTTCTCAAGTAATTTGGAAACATGTTTTACTTTTCTTTTTATTTGGCCTGATAATAATGTTTACCTGTTATCCTTTTCCTAATTCGTGTTTTCAATGTTGTTCTGGATTCCATATAGTTTTCAAGCTCCCAACTTGGTGTGAAGTTCAAGCCATTTTCTAAGGTAAATCACCTATATTTTTTTGCAAATTGTAGTATATCCAATCATCTCATGGTGCTCAGAACTTTCAGAAATACTCTAGAACTCAAAAACATGAAATACAATTCCAATTTTAGTGTTTGGGAAATCACAAAAACTTCAAATTTGGTATTTAAAATTCACAATCAATCGGTTTTAGGAAATCATATACTTTGAATTCTAGTAATTTCATACTAATTGTTACTTTGATATCTATTATATTGCAGTATCCTCCATGTTACAAAGACATGAGCTTCTGGATCAGCGATTCATTCACCGAAAACAACCTTTGTGAAGTTGTTAGAGGAATCGCTGGGGATCTCGTGGAAGAGGTATGCTATAATGGTGTCTATACTTTTTAAGTCTTGTAGATAAACTGAGATTTTGAAAGATACCCTTCTATATTCTACTCCTATATGTGCTCTATATGCCCAATATTTTAAGTTGACATCGAATATATATTCTCGTTTAAAATGGACTTTGCACAATTCAATAAAGGGTTGTGCAAATGGGCGGACATGTCAAATCATAGGAATCACACCTATGAGAGTGATAGAACAACTCTGAGAAAATATGAAAGTTCTGCCATTGAATGCTTTGGATGTGCCGTGTAATGCATTTGTGACCCATACTCTAATTTCAGGTTCGACTTATCGACAACTTCACGAATAAGAAAGGAATGACGAGTCACTGTTATAGAATTGCTTATCGGTCCATGGAGCGGTCACTCACTGATGAGGAAATAAATGAGTTGCAGGTTCAGTCCCTAAATCCACTTGTACACTTTGCATTCTCAACTACTCATTTTTGCTTCCTTTGTTTTTTGATGCAGTGGAAAGTAAGAGAACAAGTGAAGAGCAAATTGAATGTTGTCTTAAGATAAGTATTNCCCCCCCCCCCCCCCTTTTTCTTTTCATTCTTCTCTGAACCTTGGTATTTTAATTTCATTTTGTTTTGTGTATTTCAATTCTTCAATTCCTTTTAAGCAGTTTCCATCAACATTAATGTGTATCAGAAGCGCAGCTACAATTTATTCTAGGAAGATTGTACGCCAATACACTCACCTTTGGGAGTATTGAACGAAATTTTATATATTTCCTCCGTCCCAAAATGAATTACACTCTTCACTATTTAAAATTCACAGAAATTTTTGTTTATTTGTGCGTTTTAATTGGTTATTTGATAAAATAAAATATCATTGTCATCTCTTGCTTTGTAAAACTTTTGACATGACTTTTTAAATATGTAAGTTTATTTTTTTAAATTCTATACCACTCTTTGAAAAATTGGAATTTGTTTAATTTCGCGTAAAATGTAAAACATTTTGGGACGAAGGGAGTATATTTTTCCCTTGGACCATTTGACATAGTGAGTTATGGTACTTGGAAATATTGAACCAAAATATACCTGGCTCTTTCTCTTGGACCATGACATAGTGAGTAATGGCGAGTACTATCCATACTCGTTTTTCCTTCAAAAAAATATTTTACATTTCTTTTCTTTTTTAAAGAAGTAATTTACGATTTACTTCCACTCTCTTTTTAAACTCTCAACCATCAATCTTCAAAAATGTGGATTTTTTTTTTGGGAGAAAGACCAAAGTAGGACTAAAATATTGAAAAAATACCAAAATAAGACTTTCATGTTTTTATTCTCGAAATAGGACTTAAAATGCATTTACATTACCAAACATGGTCATGTACATTACCAAAAAAGTATAGTGATGTGCACATGCATAGTGTCACATTATCACAGTGCAAAGTCCTATTTCGAGAAAAAAACATGAAAGTCCTATTTTGGTATTTTTCACTATGTTTTAGTCTTATTTAGGGTGATTTCTAAATTTTTTCCCGGCACGGATAGAATAATACTTCCTCCGCCTATTAATTCTTTTCTCATTTTCTTTTTTGGGTTGTCTAATTTTCTTTTTTCCAATTTCTAATTTTGGTAAAAATATATTAAGGAATGCGTTATTATACCTTTACTTTTTATTTATACTATTAACTTTGTTCCATCACATTAAAGACGAATATGAAGTCTTTACATTTTTTATTTTTTCTTAACCTTTGTGCCAAGTCGATCAAGTAAGAAAAAAATAGAGGAATTTAATTAAATAGTACTAAAATATAATGACTTTCCCTAAATAGCATCATACGTGTTTTTTTCCCAATGTAACACTTTTAGGCATTATCCATTAGTCATTATTCAAGTAAATGTTTGTCATCACTGGACATTACTCCTCCTTCTGGACATTATTAAGTGTTATTTAAGGAATAAAATAGTTTAAGTGCTATTTAGAAAAATGATTTTAGTTTTAGTGCTATTTAGTGCAAATATTTCAAATGAATATTCGGACAGATGGAATATTGTTTTTAAAAAATATGGAATACTTGGTGACTCGACCTAGGGTCACACAAATCTTTTGTTAGGTACAAAGTCCACCCTAACATTTTACGCAAAATTTGAGAAAGAAATCACACTAAATAGGACTAAACAATAGTCCTTTTCTTCCAGTTTGGGTTTGAAATAGAAAAAACTAATTTTTTAAAAGATGGTTGAAAACTAACCGAACCAAATCGGTCATAAACTAAAATTGACTGAACCAAAATTTAAAACCGCACACATTGCAAAAAAATCGATTGAAAAATTGAACTTTAATTGCATTTATTTTGACCTTTTGATATAAACTCAACCAATTAATTTGGTAAGGTAGATTGATATGTATTAAACTAGTTTAGATTAACACTTTTCAGTTTTCATGAGCTTAGTAAGGTACATTGATTTGAATATAAACTATCCATTTCATAGAAAAAAATGGCATTTTTCTTATTAATATGTTCAAAGCATTAACAAATAATTTTTTAAAAAGTGAAACAATAGATTTTTCATGGGAAAGTAAAAACAAAGTGTGTGTTAATCAAATATTTTCTTAGTCCAAATTAAATAAAATAAAATAAAATCATCAATTATTCGGTCGATTCGATTTTTTCTTACAAAAAACCAAAAACTGACTGAAAAACCAAAAAGACCAGTAATGCTTTTTACATGAAAATTGAAATCGAAACTGAACTTTCGGTTAATTTGATTTTCAGTCAAAGGTTTCGTGGTCGGTTCGGAAACAATGCTCACCCCTACCAAATAGTGTGGTCTAAAGGCATTTTAAAAGGATGACACTCCATCAATACCGTCAAGTAGTTAGTTGAGGGGAAGATAAATTGAACTAGTCTTAATAGTTAATGTGGAGGTAGATTCTGTGTATCAGTGTATGGTACTTGTAGTCGTAGAGGTCTTATATCACATTGTTGTAACTCATTGTAGTCACCAGACTTCAAACTTGAGGTCTCTCTTTTGTATCACCTATATGTCAGTTGCCAGCGTTTGAACTACGTCTCATCGGTGATCCAAGAACATTTCAAATTTCAACCAGTGACAAACACATTACACTGGGCGGTTTCCCTTTAGGGCATCTCTAAGGAGATCTCTAATGGCATCTCTAAAGGCTCCATGGATACCCTTGCTAAAAATAGACAACAATTCCATAGAATTTAATAGAGTAATATGCTTTAAAAAGTTGTTAGGTGTTGCCTCTCAAAAGAAATTTTGAGGATGCTGTACGCAAACGGTTGAACTCTTCCAAAACCATACAATACTGTTTATTAGTGAGTCGAAAAAAACACGCGCATAACTCCTAAAATCACTGTCATTGTTTGACACTACGAAAAGACAAAACATAAGTAAGTGCCTACCAATTATGGTAACAATTAGCACATTGTTAGCTACATTTCTCATTTTGATTCATCAAATGTGTACTATTACACGGTGGATTTGGTAAAACAAATCCAGAATTTGTAAAGAATATGTAATTCAAAATGTTTCTTTTCTTCTAAACAAATCTCAACTACAAGTTTTACTTTTCAACATTTTATTTAAATTCCGTGAAATCAAACTATGCGAAATGATTAACAAAAATAAGAAAACAATGAAGAAAAAATGACATCTAAATACTCCATAGTGTATAGGGACTTCAATTTAGAGAAGAGTATCAACAAAAGGTGCTCCAACCCCAAAATATTGCGTTCCCAGTTCAATTTTTCTACTTCCTATTCGTAAGCGACTAGCCTGTTTGGTAATAGCGTTAGAGATTAGCGTTAGCGTTTTGGATAAAATTTTAACAGTGCAGATTACTTTGAAAACGCTAATGCTAAACGCTGCCCATAGATAGCATTTTCAAAACGCTAACGCTAATTGCTAACGCTATTCCCAAACAGGCTCGTAAACTATTGTTAGGATGTTTTGTTAAAATCTTCAACTAATTACTCGCTGCGTCTTAATTTAATTCATCTATTTTGGTTTATGATGACTGAAGTTATTTTCAAATCATTTTATATAAAAATGATGTAGAATTTAAAAATAAAATTACGTATTTAAAAAGTGCATCAAAAGATCTACAAAACTAGTCGTGACATGACTATATTATTTTATCAAATGAATAACAAAAATAAGAAAAGCAAATGAATAAAGCTTGACCTTGAAATAATAAACAGAGAATTTAATTTGAGATGGAGAGAGTAAATTATTACTCCGTATTAATTTAAAGTTGCTACTTGCTCGGGCTCTTGAAAACTTGCAATTATTGGTAAATATTTAAAAATGTTGAATTGCCAATTGAAGTACACCATTAAGAGAAAAAATATCAAATGAAAGGTAAAATATAGAAAATATATCAAGATAAAATTTCATATTTTTTTAATCTCCAAAATACTCCGTAAGAATTACAATGTCAATTATATCAACATGTAATACAAAAAATATTACTCTACCCATCCCTAAAAGATTGTCATAGTTTAACTTTTTTAGTTAAACTTTGACACCGCTTAACTACGATTTAAATATAGTTTAAAGTAATTAATATTATAAAAATTTGATATTTTAAAACTATATTTTAAAATAAATCCAAATTTACTAAATTTACATTATAACTAAATATATTTTTTCAATAATTTTTGATCAAAAGATGACACAATTTGACCAAGAAATCAAACAATAACAATCTTTTAGAGACGGAGAGAGTATGAAATGAGAATATTTTACTCCTATTTAGAGTAATGTGTTAACCATATTGATACCAACTCTATCAATTTTTCTTTTAAAACACATGGAATGTCAACTGAGGTACTCCTTTGACACCTCACTCTTCAAGATTGGTAGGTCTTGTCCCCATTTGGTAACAAAATTAGAAATTAACCTCAACATTTGGAAGAGATTATCAAACTGTAACTTTTAAGGTTGAAGTTTTCAAAATTAATCTGAACTGGTATTAAATTTTTATCTAAAATATTAACACTAATAGAAAATGTATCTCAAACAAGGTCATTAGCATTTGTCACTTTACCAAGAAATTTTAACAGTAAACGGCAAACAGCAACAACTCTTCCATATTTAAAAATTACCATCAATTTTCTTGTAACCCATTGAGAGACATGACCAGTAACAGTAAATACCAACTTTTCAAGCAAATCATTTAACCATTAGAACGTTCCCAATGAAAACAAAACGAAAAAAGGGAGCACATAGTAATTCAATTTTGGGCATGGTGGTAAATTCAAAACACATTACCCAATACTTTGGCCCCTATCATTCTCCTTGTATGAATGCCATGGCTTGCAATGAAAAAGGAGTTGAACTTGGGGAAATTGACACTACATTTTCATATCTGTCCAAACATAATACACTGGCTGCAATGCTCAAATATGGGAAACGTCTTGCACGGGTTATAACACTCTGTTTGGTTCAAGAAATTTGAAAGGGAAAAGAAAAGAAAATGAGACGGAAAACATTTTTTTTCTTGTTTGATTAACAAGGAAAAGAAAAGAAAAGAAAAGTGAAGAAAAGAAAAGTGGAACCAAAAGAAAATGAGAAGACAAAAAGAACTAAGATGAGGGATTTTAGAAGTGAGAGAATACCATTTTCTTTTCATTTCCTTGATGCTTCCTTGCACTTTGTTTGGTTCAAGGATTATGGAAGGAAAAGAAAAGATAATGATTTTCTCTCATTTTCCTCACCAAAATAGGAAGATTTTGGTTTTTCCTCTCCTTAGTGTATGTAGTCTTCTAATTTTCTTTTCCTTCGACTTCTCTTTTCATTTCCTTTATAACAGCATGAAGAATTGTTTTCCTTCTCATTTTCTTTTCATTTCCCTTTTAATTTCATTGAACCAAACAAAGTGTTAGTGAAGATATCAAGAATCTGATATGGAACCTATCAAGGGAGCAGCATTCTTGGGATATTTGCTCCACTGTTTCTTTTTTATTGCCACATAAAGCATACAACAGATCAATCAGTAAACCTCTTAGAAATCAAACCAGAGTTAATATGGAGAATACCTTTGCAACACTTTGAGCTGAAATGATGATTGATGAGTATTGTGTTTTAACCCCTCTGTTCTTCTGTATGGGTATCACTCTTCTGTGATGAGACTGAAAGTCTGAAACAGTATATGTAGTTGACCTTCATAATTGCTCTTATGAAAGATGATGGTGGGAATACTAAACAACAAATTGACACATACTAGGTAAATAAATATAGTAAATGAAAATACTACATCAGCAATTACTTCCAGACAAAGGAGAGTTTAATGGATACAAAACAGGGATAAAAAATGTTGTAAAAGATGGGAAAGTTGGGTTTTTTCAAGTAGAATAAAAATTCCAAAACAACGAGTGAAAGTTCAACCCCACGCACGAAAAGATGAAGATTGACAAGCAAGAGTTAATACCTCAATCAAACATAGTAGCTGACTGCAATTCCTTGTTGCTATGCATATCTCAAAAAAGATAACAAATCTCAAAGAACATCCAAAACTAGTGCAGACTAATGTTACTCGTTGATCTCAGCAGCAGCAGCGGCACTCTCTTCTTTCTTCAGTGCAGCAACCACTCGGTGCAAAACTTGATCCGTAGGCTTGTGAGAATTCTCCACGGCCTTGGCTATTGATTGCCACTTTTCGCCATGCTTAGGCTCAGCAGCAACACATTTTCTCAGCACCTCATTCCTTGTATCTTCAGAACCAAACTGCTCCTCGAACCTGTAGAACAAAGCCCAGAAATCACCAATATCCGGAGCAATTGTGACGGCCCGGTTGAACCACGTCCTAGCTTTATCAACCTTCCTGTCGTTCCAGAACAGCTTTGCAATGGCAGCAAGAACATATGCGTCCTGGTTGCACTTCTTGTAAGCATCTGAACTCTTAGATTTTCTCTGAGGACGTGGTGCCATCTCAATAGAAGCGGCCAATAGTATACCACTTGTCGGGCACTCCTGTAATGCCTTTGCCATAAGAACATCAGCTTCCTTCTTGTAGCCATGCCGGGCCTCAGCCCGTACTGCAGCAAGCCATAGTTGAGGATTCTTTGGGTTTTTCTTCCTGGCCATGGTAAGAACTGCTCTAGCTTTGCTCAATCCACCGCTAATCCTCTCCTCCAGTTTAGCAAGAGATAACCACAAGGGGATGCAGTTTGGACAGTTCTGCAAACCAGATTCATATGTACTCTTTGCATTCTCCAGATTGCCAAGACGTTCTTCAAGCTGACCGCGCATCAACCAGAGTTTGAAAAAGGAGGGGAATCGCTTCAGCCCATCATCGAGCAGGAATTTCTCTTCATCTATGTTCCCTAATTCTCTCTCAACTATTGCAGATTTCATCCAGACACGTTCTGCCCCGGGTATTCTATCTCGAGCCTTAGCAAGCAGTTTTCTGGCTCTCTCAGTTTCTTTGTTCTCAAACTCGAGCTTAAAAGCAGCAAACCAAATCTCCTCGGAATCTGGAATTGCAGCAAATGCTTCCTCAAGAATTGCCCTGGCAGCAGGCACATCACCGGCAAGCCACTTCTCTTTGGCACCCATTAACCATAGAACCTCAGCATTTGGTATATATGTAACTGCTTTACGGAGGAGAGCGTCGAGGCTTTCCCGGGTTCCGTGGCTCTTCTCCAGTTGTGCCGCTTTAAGCCAGATGCTCTTCTTAGTCCTGAACACCGTGAGGGCATGAGAATAAATTTGCCTCGCTGTTTCAATGGATCCCCTCTTTTTGCATTCTTCCGCGTCAGCAACCCAAGTCCTTTTCCTGTCTTCTTCTTCCACCCCAAGTCCAACGGTGTTAGTTATTATAGCCTGGCAGGTCAGAACAGACCCAGCTCTTTCACAACCCTCAGCTTCCTTCATCCAAGATTCGCGATCAATTTCCAGACCTTCTCTCTGCAATGCCCTGATACCTCTTTCTATGATTTTAAGAACCGTAGTGGTATTCCCGTTAGCTTCTTCCAGTCTTGCAGCAGTTATCCAAATGGCAGGTTCCTTGGGAAGCTTCTCTCTTGCCTTATTAAGTACCTTCTTAGCATTGTCATAATTCTCCAATTTAGCAAGAGCAAGCCACAACTCAACATGCAACGGACAGCACTCAACAGCCCTCTGAAGCAAAAGTCTAGCATCTTCCTCATTGGCCAACTCCACAACAGCTTTCCAAAGTCTAACTGAATTGGGTATATGTTCCAACCCTTTCCTCAAAACACGACTCTTATTTGAATCATCTTCTTCCAATTTTGTAGCCTCTAGCCACAGTTTCACTGAAGTTGGATTCACCTTTATACCACTTGCAATTACAGCCTTAGCCTCACCAGGGCTAGCAAGCCGGCATGCTTCCAGCCAAATGTCCTCGCTCTTGGGGCACTCTTCACATCCCTTTTTAATCAACTGTCTTGCAACCTGCAACTTACCAGCAACCTCCTCCAATCTTGCGGCTGCAATCCAACCGGGCGGGTGTTTGGGATTGGTTGTAGTTACTGATTTAAGCAACAACCTGGCCTTCTTTATATCAGAGATCTCGGCATCGCTAGTGATTTTCATACTCTTCAAGTCGGTCAAATAACCTTTTGGATCCACAACTGTCTGCCCGGTGACCGAGTCTAAAATGCGATCCAACCTCACCTCCAAAACGGTGCCCCTCCCTTCACCCATAGCAGTTAAATCTGCAACTGGAGTTTGAGACCATGGTGTTTCAGCCCCACCAACTCCCCTACTCTTTGGATCCAAAGCTGTAACATGCTCTTTTTCTTGCCTTGCCTTCTCCAATAAAGTATCAGGAACCGGCACAAAACTCTCAAATCTCTTCTTTTTATTCCTCAATGAATAATCCCCAATTTCAGGTATACTATCCCACTCATGGGTGGACATCGTATGCAACTTTCTCTTTAAATCTGCGAACTGTTCAGTAATCTTGGGGTTTGATGCACGATACTTCTCAATTTCTTGCTTAAGCCTTGCCTCTCTTCGGTCTTTCCTCCTTGAATCCATTCTCTGATCAATAGCCTCCCAAATTGCATCAGCTTCCTTGTCATCCTCATCATACTCTGCTGATGCAAACAGACCTACATCATTCCCTTCAAACTCATCAAACTTCTGATTCTCATCATACCCCTTCTCATCATTCTCGTCATCTTCGTCTTCTTCCCCGCCTCCTTTCCCTCTGCCACGGCCAACCCCAGCAGGTGCAGCAGCAGCAGCACCAATGGCCGATCTATCAGGAAGATCAGGGGCAGCTCGGGCCGGCCCAATATCAGATCTTGTGGTGAAACCAGTGGCACCACGACCAAGCCCGGCAACATAATTAGCAGGTGGTTTGGTATTAAGAAACTCAAGCCTGCTCTTCGGTTGGACTGGAGCCTGCATCCCACCAAGCAGAGGAACATGTAGGGTTAGAGTGGAATTGACAGAAACGCCAAGATCTGAGATGGGCACATTGCTGTTGGTTAGGCGACGGCAGCTGAGGAATATGTGTTGGCTATGAAGGGGTATGTGGTGATTCTCATGGATTTTGAGGCACAACGAGGGAAGGGTTATTGTGGAGGGGTTCACGTCTAGGGTTAGGGTTCGATTATCGGGAGATTTGATGAACACCATGACTAAGAAGTTGTAACGTGAATCAAAAGCAAACAACTAGATATCAGGGCCGGTCCCAAATCCAGAAGGACCCTGTGCAAAATAGAAGTTATAGCCTCATTAGACCTCATATGCACAAAATTTAAATTAAATTCGTATTAATTGCATTATATTTGTTTCAATGATAATATGAAGTAAAAAAACACTAAGTAAAAGTTTATATAAAAACATCCTATTTGTATATTTAGATATAAAATCATCAATCAAACTATTGATTTCTTTTTTGTTTATGAACAACGCGCAGATTTTATTTTTTCAAAGACACATCCAAATTCCAAGATGCTGCAGCAAACAACAAAAACTGCCAAATGTAACAAAAATCTCTACTATACCAAGCTACAACCCCTTGAACTAATGAAGATCCTCGAATGATATTTAATATTTCTCACGAGTATCAACTATTAATTTCTACACGGGAATTTCTGTAAATCTCCACATTCAATCCAATCCAATACAAAAACTACATATTAAAGTTAAATTTCAGAACCATATATGTACTAAACCTAAATTTAAAAAATGCATTAAAAGATTCCAAAACCATTATATCCAAGCATTTAAAAGTCAGAACCATAAAGGCCGAGTTTAAAAAATTTCACAACAATTGTGATTCAAGCATTCAATGACTTTTTAAAAGAAGATTTTTTAATTAAAAAACTCGGAAAAAAAAGACTTGCTGAAAAAGTCTAGAACTTTTTTATAGCATTAGTAAGTTACAAATTTTAATGTCATTCACACGACAATTTGTAAAATTCTTGGGAAAAAAATGAACATGTATTTAATGACAGAAAATTAATTCCTAGAAAGTCAAGAAAATTACTCCCTAATTCTTATAAATTAGTTCAAAAAATATGCATTTAAAATAAACATCAATGAAAGTTTTACTGCTTCTACTCCTAAAACCCTATCCCTAGGAACAAAAAAAGATTAAAAGAAATCTAGAAAAGAAATCAAAGAATAAACCTGGATGGTTGGATGCCTGGATCGGATTGCTCTGAATCGAAAGACCGGAGACGCAGGGTGCTGAAGCGGAAGTTCAAAACTGGAAACGCAGCCTGAACCGGAGATGGGGACTGAGTAATCGACGATCGGGGAATTATCTAGGTTAATAGCAACCCCTCTCACGGAGTCACGGTCTCACCGCCTCTCGATCGCAGGGGGGAATCGCAGGGGGAATCGGAGCAAGAGGGGGAGGTAACTGAGCTGGAAGGAGGAGAACATACCTGGGCTGCGGCGGATGGAGTTGCAGCGGCGAGGTGTGTGGCGGACGGAGCGGCGAACTGGGGAAGAGGAAAATTGAAGGGTTGGGGAAGGGGTAGAAGGCTTAGAATAATGAAGGCCAAATAGTCCTTGGTTTGCAAAACAGACACCAATAACCCATGTTCTCAAAATTTATTTCTAAAGTCTCTGTGATTTCAAAATGCTGCACCCGTGCCCCCTCTGATCAATTTCCAGCCATTTTTCCGGCGAAAAAGGGGGGCATTGGTGCATATTTTTTAAACCATAAGGGGTATCAGTGTTGATTTTTATTTCTCGCTTATTTTTTGTTTTTTTCCATTTTTTGTTTCATTTATTAATAAAGGTTTTTTAAAATTATTTTTATAATGTTCTTAAAATATAAAGTTATTTTTGTTTGAAAAAATTAACATATAATGCATATGTACGTCTCCAATTAACGATTTTTGTTTTTTCTGAAAAAAGTAAATCTTTTTTTAGAACTTTAAAAAATGAGGAATAAAATAAGAAAAAAATTGTTTAAAAACAAAAATGAATATCCTTTTTGGACATCTCAATTCTAAAGACTTTTTTAGGCGTGTCTAATTTGTTTTTTGTATAAGACTTTTATTGTGTATTTTAATTTTTTGATTTCATTTTTTCATATTTTTTTTATCCTGGGTTTTTTAACTTTCCAAAAAATTATGTAAATTTTGTATGTTAATTATGTTAATTATGTTAATTTTATATGTAATGTATGTTAATTTTGCTATTTTTATTTTTATTTCAAACCCAAAGAATTTTAAAATTTTTAAAACATTATAAAAAATTGAAAATATATTTTAAAAAAAAATTCTAGGAAAAAAAAGAGATAGAAAAAATTTAAAAAAAAAAGGAAAACACAAATAATAAACAAAAATAAAAAATGAGCACGAATGCCCCCTATGTTTTAGAAATTATGTGCTAATGCCCCCTCTTCGCCGGAAAATGGCAGGAAAATGATCAAATGGGGTGTGGGTGCAACGTTTTGAAACTACGGGAACTTTAGAAATAAGTTTTGAAAACATAAGAGGTATTGGTGCCAATTTTCCAAACCACGGGGGCACCAGAGCTATTTCGCCGAATAATGAATGACTTTTTTTTAAAACAAACAACAAAGGGGAATCAGGGAATCTCATTCCCTTTCCAGATTCCTTTACCCGCGAACCAAACGCCCCCTAACAGAAAAAACTTAATAATAATAATAATACGGAGTATTAAATTCAAATTTTTATCTTTAAAATAAGACATCATTTTTTTGAGTTAAACTAGACAAATTTTAAACTTTAATTACTCTCAATTTATAGGCAAATTTTTCTGTCGTCCTAAGATCCATGTTCATTTTATAGACCTTAATATTGATATCTTAAAAGAATTAGTTTTTTGCAAAAAAAAAAAAGAAAATATCCAGTTACCGGTCCATGAAAAGTGTGAAAAGATTCATATTTCGCATATGGACCTTAGGACTATGGAAGAACAACTCCAATTTGTATTGCATATTCTCTATTAGTATAATGAAACACGATTTTGAAAATTCTTAATAAGATTAATCTAATTAAATCATTTTTATATTTCCTTCACTTTGTCCCCCTAAACTTGAATTGATACTGAAAGTCAACCAAATATGGAAAAATATCACATGAAAAAATTTGAGATTATTTTTTGTGCACATAGGTTTAGGTGTAACTTTAAATACCTAAACTTATACTCTGTAACTTTGGGAAAATATCACATAAGTTTAGGTGTTACTTTAAATACCTAAACTTATACTCTGTATTGCATAGTACTCCGTATTTTATTACCACGGAGTACGACTCGAATTATAATTTTATTTATTGCAAAATCAAACTACAATTATACTTTATAAAAAATTGTACTTTATAGCTAAACAATACACTATGATTATATAAAAAATTGGTGTACCATTTTTTTATTTACGTCAATTATTTTTTACGAATAAAAATATTTTCAATGCATCAAAATATTACGATATAGTTCCAAATACATGATAGTATGATACTAAATGAGTTTATTACATGTAAAATTGAAACGCTACCAAACTGCTTGAATAGTAACAATATGGTGCAAATTGTGTAAAATTATCAAATCGTCACTAACTACATATCTGTTTGACAATAATGTTAGAGATTATCGTTAGCATTTTGAATAAAATTTTAGCGATTTAGATTACTTTGAAATGTCTAATGCTAAACGCTGCCCGTTTTCAAAATGCTAACGCTTATCTATAACGCTATTCTCAAACAGACGCTAATCTAGCAACGGCCGAACATTGGGTGGTTGCGGTCTTGTGGTTGGACCATAATATGGCCCAAGAAATCCATGCCTTTAGCAAGATATAAGAAATATATGTCATGTGTGGCATCTTTTTATCAAGTTAACCATCCTTACGTTGTGTTTGGTCCTCCTGATCTATTTTTTTTAAATGTTAATCTTACCTAATTATATTTATATTTAATGTTTTTTGGATGCATTTTGATCTGATTTAAAATTATTTTAATAAGAATAAATTATAAACTGAAAAAAATAAATTGAACAGAATGAACCCTTAATTGTAACACACTTGGCCATTAAAATACGAGCACGTTACATTTTAATTAATAATCTAAGTTTCTTAATATGAGTTAAACTAAATTCAAGATCACATTAATGAATTGGTGTAATTGTGAAAGAGACCAACTAAATTGGCATGTTTAACATTAAAAAAACCACTAATATCAAACTATATCGTTCTTAACAAATACTCCGTATAAGGAATCTATTTAGCCTTATTCTTTTGACTCTTCTTAATTTGTTTCAACAATGACTTGAAGAAAGTATTTATATATAATGAATATACAATTACATTATACTATCTTTGTCTCTATTTTGATTTCAAAATGCGAATCATGGTGTAAAATTTCACAATTTTTGAAATCAATTTATTTACAATTTAGTACATCTATTAAAATAAAAATTACATATAAAAAAACTATGTCCAAAGTTCTACAAAACAAGAGGTTACAAGAATATTTTATTTTATCAAATAATAAATGAAAACACACAAATAAATAAAATTTATCGAGAGAAGATAGAAAATAAAATTGTAATGAAAATGGAGACGGAAGAAGTATATCCAAATTTATAACATACAACCTCAAACATGGATATACATCTTTTTTATCCAAAAATAGAGTTCTCTAACATATTTATTTGGTGATTATTTATTGAGCGGTTTTTTAACATTTAAATTCTTTCAACTTCTTCTAGTTTTTTCTAATAACCAACTCTAAAATTTCAACTTAAAAAGTATGGCCTTAAAGCATCGTTGAAATAAAAATGGAATCTTACACGTTAACGTGGCACATTTCAACTAATTAAAAATAGTTTAGTCAGTAAGTTGTACATGGGTGGAGTTGCAAGTTCAGCAGTAGCAACTAGCAAGTCATTACTTATGTCATTTTGCTCATTTTTTGATGTCTTTTAATTATAAAAAAATTCTTTTATTTATTTATTTTATCAATCAAATATTTCTACTTTCTTATACAAAGGTTTTTTTTATCAAAATTAAGAAAATTTAAAAATTAAAGAGGCGTGACACTCCACGCCGATGCCTCTCCATGTAGGCGAAAATCTAAAATCATGCGAGACAATACGCTAAAACAAAGAGCTTGTGCTGAGGTGGCGTGGAATGGCAGTCAACTTCCACGCCACTATCTTTGCTCTTAGGATTGAGATGCTAAGTAAGCATTATCAAAGATCTTATATTCTAACGATGTCATGTGTCTATATTTATATATTTTTATTAGTTATTTAATAAAATAAAATATCATTATCATTTTTTATTTTTTAAATTTGTAACGTATTTTTTAAATATGTAAATTTATTTTAAATTTCTATACGAATCTTTTGATAAAATGAATTTTAAAAATTTAGAATTTACTTCATTTCAAATAATGTCATACGAGTATTTTTTTGGACGGAGGGGGGTAAAAAAAGGTAATGCCAAAGGCTCTCACATGTCACCATTGTTCCATGTTTGTTATCGCTTTCACAAACGCCTATTTGTTCAACATGTTTGTTACTCCCTCCGTCCCACTGTCTTTGTCCACTTACCTTTTGGCACACTATCCAATGCACTTCTTTAATCCATTTTATCTTGTAATTTGTATATTAAAAAATTATAAAAATTATATATTAATAATCTATATGTTAAGACGAATCAAACAAGGTCACACATGACTATTTTTAGGCTTACACATTAAGAGAATTTGATGAGTCAAAGTGCTTAGATGAACAGTTCTAAAAGTCAAATGTGGACAAAGACAGTGGGACGGAGGTAATAAAAGATATGGCAAAACTAACAAATTTGATAATTTCAACCCTTAGTTTTAACATTTTGAAAAAAATGTATAATTATAATATGTAACTTTATTGTTTTAAAGGGTTTATCAGCTCAATTAAAAAATTATCGATTCAAAAGATTTTTCTAAAATAAAGCCTAATTGTTACCAAACAATAATACATTCATATTCATTTCAATGTATTCATTCGATTCGATTTTTTGAATCAAGCGAAAAAGAACTTTACACACCAATCAACAAAACAAGTGGTGATAAGAATATTTTATTTTATGATATAGACCATGAAAAAACACAAATAAATATAAATTCTCGTGAAGTTGGAATAGTGCTCTGGGAAGATCATTATAGGACGGAGGGAGTACAAATTATAGTGTATATTGGTATAAATACAATTTTATTAGATTTATCTTGCTAAAAAAATTTAATTTTTATTTAACTATATTAATATACAATACAAATTAAAAGTAATTAATAATTAAATTTCATCTAATTTAAATTGAAAAAAATAATAGAGACGAATACATACTCCCTCCCTTATCAATGGATATCCGTCAAGGAAAAGGGATCATCCTCTTCCTCATCGAGGCTGCAATTGGGACGCAAGAGACGCTTTGGGGGGGTTTCGCGTGACGCAAACGTATTTCCCCAACCCCAAACACTCCCTCTTCTCTCTCTCTGGTATATCTTCATCTTTACTTCCATAAGATTGCGCGAAAATCGCGGTGTCATTTTCCCGGAATGCCCCGAAGATGCGCTTCAATTACCATTCCATTTCAAGACATCTCTTTCGTCCCTATCTTCTCTCCAATTCCAGTTGTCTTTAAGGAAACAAATTTCTGATCTTTTTTTTTCTCTTTTGCGTCTCGCACCCGTCTGGGTTCAGAAAATCTTGCCGGTTCTTGGGTTTCCGGTCGCCGGAAAGTCGACCCAGTTGACTGAATCTATTTTTTGTCTTGAATTTTGATTTTTTAATAATCGTTCGTTGAAAACAATGGGTTTTGTTTTAATTTTATTTTTTTAATTTTTTTTTTCGGGATCAAAATTAATGCTCTGAAAGTTGTCAAAACAATTCAGCATCTCTCGTTGTCATGTTTGTGTCTATGGACGACGAATAGAATCCCGTTTTTCTCTCGCTCGCTTTCTCTTCCCTCACCGATAATTTCTATCAAAATTTCCTCTTTTTCCCACCCTCTGTTTATCTCTGTTTGGTTTCCTCCGTTTTGCAGAGGTTGAAGAGAGGGAAAATCATCTCTCCTTTCTCTCTCTTTCATTTTCTGCTTCTCCTTCTTCTTCTTTGACCCCTTCAGCATTTATTTTGATCAAGAATCATGGCAGTTTATAGGGACTCAATGGAATCAAATCTCAATAGCCTTCTGGATTTCACCACCCCTGCAGTTTCTTCTCAGTTTTTGGCCAAGGTTCGTGTTTCTTTTCAATAACCAATTCAAAGATTGATCCTTTTTTCCCCTTTAATCCAGGAATTTCATTGCTTTATGTGTGTTTGATTTCTGGGCAGGGCGAGATTCGGAACTTTAATAAGCTATGGCTTCCGTGGGACCGAGAAAGGGTCGAATTCTTTACATTGGCTGATCTCTGGAGTTGCTATGATGAATGGAGTGTGTATGGTGCTGGTGTTCCTATCAGATTGGACAATGGTGAAACTTTGGTTCAATATTTTGTGCCTTACCTCTCTGCAATTCAGATATTCACCAGCACTTCTTCTGCTAATTGTCTGAGGTAATGGCTTTTCTTGATGCAATTCTTTAATATAAAAAATTAGACTTTGATAGTTAGAATTGTGATCAATCATGTTTTTGTGAATGAGGAATGTTGGATTTGGATGATATTAGGGACGAGAGTGATTCGGCGTGCGAGACTCGCGATTCATTTAGTGATTCGTTCAGCGATGAAAGCGAGAGCGAAAAGCTCTCTAGATGGGATGGGTGCTCTTCTGAAGAGGGGTATGATAGTGTCTGGCATTTGAATGATAGGTTGGGTTACCTCTATTTCCAATATTTTGAGCAATCCGGTCCCTATGGACGAGTTCCTCTCATGGATAAGGTTACATTTTATGGCTGCTTTCTTTCCTTTATACTATGTATAGTGTTTTTTAATTCTGCATTCTTTATGATTCCCCTTTCCATTTGTGTTTGCTTAGTAATTTAAATACTGCAGGCTACAGATAAAGATCTCTTGTGGTAATTTTGATTACTTGGTCTGCTTTCTTCTAGCTTTTGACGCCCTATTTGAATCATGCTTTTGCTGTCCTTTTTTTATTATTTCAAGAATGCATAGGCATATCTTGTTTCTTTTGCTGTCCTATTTGCTGTTCTTTAATGCTTCTAGGTATATCTTGTTTCTTTTGATGGTCTGCATTGTTTTTGTTTGATAAGGCACTACACAATACTCAAATTTCAGGCATATACTCTTGTCCATACCGGTTTCTTTCATTTGTGTATCAATCTGACAAATAGAATACTTAACTTTCTTAAAAAAATTTTGGGTTTTTCGGTTTCCAGATTAGCAGCTTAGCACTACGGTACCCTGGATTAAAGACATTAAGAAGTGTAGATCTTTCTCCTGCTAGTTGGATGTCAGTTGCTTGGTACGTTATCTTCATTTCCTTCGCCGGGAGAAATGAAAAAGGGAAAAAATCTCATGAAGTTTAATGTTCATAAAAAGATTCATTCCATCTAGGCCATCCACATAAATGCTGATAACTAGTATTTTCTCACAATTTTAATGCATCTGTTAAATGTCAAACTTATTCCTCTTCTTCTTCTTTAATTCTCAACCAATGGCTTGCATTATTAGCTTAAGAAAAAAGTAAATGATAGAAGGGAATAAATGCAAGATTGAGGAACAAACTTTGATTGATTTGAAAAAAATATTCAGGTACCCTATTTATCACATTCCCATGGGGAGAACCATTAAGGACTTATCCACGTGTTTTCTTACGTTCCACACGCTCTCCTCTTCATTTCAAGGTATTCTAATTCTCTTGCTTATGTTCCACTTTTATTCCCAAAGTGTTTTTATTCTTTTCTTGACCGGGCATCTTTGTAGTGCGAAAAAAAATACCCATAACTGTTGAAAAATTCCAGATATGGACACAAACGACGATGATTTGGGGAATGTTTTTGTTAAAAAGGCAAAGGAACGAGGAGCTATCCCTCTCCCTCCGTTTGGTTTAGCCTCTTACAAGATGCAAGGGGATGTTTGGTTATCCGACAAGAGTGGTAGGGATCAAGAAAGGCTTCTATTGCTCTATAGTGCTGCAGATTCATGGCTCAAGCAGTTGGGAGTCCAACACCATGATTTTAACTACTTTGTGGGTATGCGCCATTGAGTAAAGTCCCAATTGCCCTTGATATCTTTTGGAAGCGGGCAAGAAGAAAGAAGCGACTTTCGATAATTTTAAAAAAAAATCTCTTTTACATAACTGCCCTAGCTCATACGATTAGGTGCGCATTGCGGAGTGCCATAAGATAATAATACTTTAAAGTTGAAAGTACTGTAATATTTTTTCAAAATGTTTCTTTATTTGAAAAAATATTACAGTATATTGTTTTCGACTGTCGAAGTATTTTACCCCCTCGGTCTGAGGGGGGACTTTTTAGTACGTTTGGGTTGGTTTTGGTTTGGTTTTGATTGCATTTTTGTCGCGCCTTATTGTGAGACCATCCTCTACTCTCTTTTTTTTCTTTGTGGCATGGTTCTGTTAATGCTTTTACCCAACTATTTAAGGGGTTGAGCTTTTGGCAATGTGTGTATAGGGATGAAAAAATGTAATCTTTGAGTGAGATGGAGAGAGGGGCAATTTGGACATGAGCTTTGAGAATGTGACATTGACTTTGTTGTAATTGAGCCATGTCAAGGTTTACTTGAGAGAAATTCTTTGCTCTCATCATGTTGAGTACAATATATTTGTAGCTTCATCTGTCTCATATGCTTTTACTCTCATATATATGTACAATATACTAACTCAATTAAATATCTATCCAGTATGATTCTTTTGAATCAAATTAGATGAATTTTGATCATCATCTAATTAAATACAAGTTGGATTACATATTATTATAAAATTGATTTCATTAGAGAAAATCTTCAAAAATATATATCATTAAATTATATTAAGTTGCAATATAAATTTTAGGTAATTGATTATTATAATTTGTTCAGTTTGAATAAAAAAAATCATATTGTATGAATATTCTAAGATGGAGGGAATAATATCTTCGATAGTCAAATCGTAGACTTATTTTCACTTAATTTAAAGTCCATTTGATTGAATTCTGTTCAGTTCAATAAATTTGAATTGAACAGAAGACACTCATTAGTCATTAGGTTGTTATCCGAGGAATATAGTTTAGCACAAAATGCCGTGTTTCATTTGGCCGTTAGAAACATGATAGTTGTTTGGTGTGTGGCCATACAAACCGCAGGTTTTGAGGAGAAATTACTTGATGAAACTAAGATTTACGTTTCGTATTCTTGCATTTTTATAATGTACTTGTAGTTTCCTAATGTACACTTGGTATATTTATATTTATATTTTTTTTCAATATTTAAGTAACTTAAATTAAAAATAACTTCATTCTAACATCATATATCAAAAGCTTACACTATGCTATTCCATATTTTGGCATTCTATTGTGTGTTAGTAGTTAGTAATCCATTCGTCCCATTTACCTTAAATAATATTGGGAATATATTCGTTATTTATATGTATTATTTAGGACCATATTATTTATTCATGTAACCTATTTATGTTTTTATTTTCAAATAATTTATGATATGAATTCCATAAATTATGTTACCATTTATGCGTATGACTGTATGAGGAAACAATCTTTTATTAATGACGTTGTATTTATTTATGCACACTTATCATTTATAAAGCAAAGTCATACGCGAGAAAAAATGGTCAATATTTCTCCTACTATTAAATAAATAAATGATGATTTTTATTATATACCCTATCTGTCTCAGATTAATCTTCCCGGTTATTATTATGGTTTCTCGATAATTTATGTTGTAGTATGTTTTTATGGATAAATTGATAAAATAAAATATTTCGGTCACTGCTAGTTTTGTAGAATTTTTAATGTAGTTTTGAACTGTGTAATTTTTATTTTTTATTTTTATACCGATTTGTAAATATGACCATTCTAAAAGAGGTGATATTTTTCAAGTTCTTCCAAATATGAAGAATAAATAGGAGTGGAGGGAGTTTTATTAAAGTATAAAACCTTTAAAAAATTAAAATTTGACCCATTATTAATTATCATGCAAAATAAGTTTATACAATTTAATTTATTAAGGTTAAGAGTTTTTATTCTCTCTCGTTCTGGGCCCTTGGATAGTTAGGACCAACCTTCCTCTTTGACGTCACAAAAAATATTGAAAATCTATTTTGTTATAGTTCTCCATATATTTTTTTACTTTTGAATACTTTCCCTGAAACTTTTTTATTTTGGGAAAATGTGAAATTTAAGAAATGAGTAATTTTGATTTTAATTTTTAATTTGTCCGTACTTTGGACTTCCCCCGTTCCAAAATATTTTTTACACTTTATGCAAAATGAAGTGAGTTTTTAAATTTTTTTATTTCACTTTGATTAAAGATTGATATAGAAATTAAAAATAAACCTTATATATTTAAAAATTACGTTAAAAGTTTTACAAAACAAGAGGCGACAAGAATATTTTAATTTTTCAAATAATCACCCAAAACACAAAAACAAACAAAAGTTGTCGTGACTTTTGAATATTGAATAGTATAGTTTTTTGGGACGAAGAGAGTAGTAGGGTAAAATAAGATAAGATAGATAAATTAATAGTTAATGAATATGATGTAATACGTACGTTAATGATTAGTTAGAGTAAAAGAGAGATTTTAATTAATTAGAAATAGAAATAATTTTTAGACGAATAAAAAGTCAAAATAAGAAGTCAAAATTCTATAATACGTGGTATATAATTTGTTGAGATAGGGGAGTACGAGCGAATGACGGTACAAATGACTGAGTCACAATGAAGAAGCTAAATTGCGTGGGAGTCACTACAATACGAACCCCAGTGGTGTGGGTATGATGAGGAGAAGGTACGGTGGATGGGAAACTCTTTGGTCAAATGCCCACTTGCATGGGTTAGTTGTAAAGATCCTCACTTATAGCAACTCCATTGATTGTATCCAAATACTCATTCTTCCCCATTTTGATTACAAATTAGAAATCACAAAATTTTACGACTTTTGGAACTATTTTATTTATGAACTGATATATAAAAAAATAAATATTACATATTAAAAAACTATGCCAAACATTCTACAAAATAAGAGGTGACAAAAATATTTTATTTTATCAAATAATCAATGAAAACATACAAATAAATAAAAGTTATCGAGAGGAGAGAAAAAAAATTGTAATCAAAATTGGTACGGAGAGAGTATAATAAAGAAATCTCATTGGATAGAAGTAAAAAAGTATAATAATACCAAAATAGGAGTCTTAAGTTTTTAAAGATAGGAGTATACTGACAGTGTGACGTAAGAGTACGCATTGGCAGTGTGATGAAAAAGCGATGATAGTGTAACCGCGTGATATATCAATGTGATCAGTCAATTGTTGGTGATGCACCGACATTCTTGTTGTCGATAGTGACTGTAATAGTAAGACAGTTACAATGTCACAACATGATGAGTGTGCCAGTGTAACACTGGCAGTGTGAACTATTTTAATTTGGTCTTAAAAGATTTATAACTCATATTTTAATAGTTTCATACTTTTTTACTCCTATCTAGTTAATTCTCCTAGTATAATGGTACTACCGGACTGGAGTATTTATCTAATTTTGACTTTTTCAATCAACTATTTTTAGCATTTGACATATAATTAAATAAAATTTATAAAGTATGTTAGATAGTTAAAATAATATTTTAAAAATATAATATAAAATAAATAAAGATGAACTCACTAGCTCACAACATTATATAATATCATGCACACAAGCATAACACACAAGTAGCATCATAAGTATTACCTAACAGATTATTATTAACATACACATTAGGTATTTGCTATTTTAGACACTTGACTTATATCATTCTTTAGCTTATAACCTATTCTAGACTAAGGCTTATTTATTTACAACTTGCCAATGGAGTCTTGACCTTCTCCTACGTAACAAAAGTCAAGCTCAAACCAACTCGAGAGTTTCTCGTTGGGTGGGTGAGATCTCTGACCCATTGGGAACGACAGTTCATATATCCACGCGCGTACGTTTTTACCCGGATAATCATTAGACCCAACAGGTATATATCACATGACTCTAACCTTTTATTACTTATGCATGACTAGCCTCTATTTCATTCAGGTCAATCCTATAGTTCTTCTAGGTAAACTAATTCAACCATTTAATTTTCTTGCTCATATCTACATAACATGTATCAACAAGAATCGATCAATATGTCCATGTATCATCAATCATGATTCAAACATCGGTCTAGCGTTGAGTGTGAACACTCAGACTTATCGTCATACGACATAAATTATAGGTATGATGTAATAAGTAAGTTAGTACTTCGTAATTGATACGAGTAAATATGCGATTTTAATTGAAAGAAAAATTGTTTCTAAACTAAGGAATAGCTTTTTTGCATTATACGAGTAAGAGGAGTATGTATCAAGAAATAACTTTTTTGCATTATTTTATATTTTTGTATTCCTCTGCCCCAAAATATTTACAACATTTGCTTTTTTAACAGTCGCGAGAACTTTTGTTTATTTCTACATTTTCATTGGTTATTTGATAAAATAAAATATTCTTGACACCTCTTATTTCGAAAAACTTTTCATGTAGTTTTTTGATATGTAAATTTTATTTTTTTATTTCTATACCAATATGTAAATAAAATGAATTGAAAAAACTTGATATTTTACTTCAAGAATACAAGTGTGACAAATATTTAGGGACCGAGAAAGTAGTATAAAAAAGAAAGAAGAATTTTTTTTGGAATGGAGAAGATTTAATGTAAAAAAATCTAAGAAAAATTACGTCCACCAAAAGTAGCACTCTCATAGTCTCATATATAAACATCATGATAGGATAACTTAACTCCATGTTATATGTACTCCATACTTTTTTTAAGTACACTACCGAATTACGGAGTTTAGAAGAACCCAAGTAATAGGAAGATGATGTCCTTTGCATTTATTTGCTGTTTAAAACCGATTGACGTCATACATCTCTTTATTATTCATACATTTCTTTATTAAATCACCGCCAAATACCCACCAAACTGCATGCCCCTCTCATTTTTAGATTCTAATTAAATCTAAACTGTAAACCAATAATGTTTTTAAAGCCCGATTTATTTGAAGTTTTTTCTTTTTCTTGAAGGGTTTTGATCTGCTGATTTCGTGCCACGGGTTCCGGTTCGATCCGTTGGTTCAATCCGAGTTTGAAAATGCCATGTAAAATCATTTCTTTTTGTGTGTACTCTGATTGTTCGTTTAAAGTTTTCTTGAAAACATTTTTTTAATAAAACTTTCAATCATATAAATGATAAATCACGCACTTGACCACTACCCATGTCATGTTCTCTTCACCTGATCTAATCTAATTAGAATACGTTCTGGTTTGATCTGATCAGAATTGATGTGAATGTAATTATATTAATAGAATTATTGCCTCAACTACATGTGAACAATGTCATTATTCTTAATATTTTGTGAGGATAGGCCAAATAAAAAAATTGAAATTTATTTTACAGAATTTTTGAAACGTAATTTTTTTGTTGAAATATTAGAATAATAATATTGCTCCTTAAATTATGGAGTACATGATAGAGTATATATAGGAGAGACTCCTAACACAACTAGGAATAGAGAATGGAAACTAACTAACATACAACATCTAGCTACCACAAATAGGAGTAGGAAACTGACTAATAATCAAACACTACCATAACCAATACTACTAGAAGTACTATTAGTATTATTGTCTAACATCCCCCCTCAAGCTGAACTCTGGCTGAAGCAAGAGGAAGCTT